CAACATCCAGCCAATGAAGAACCTTACATACTAAAGAAATAATTATGTTCTGAACACAACAGCTACCTATATGGAGCCCTACAGGCCAATCCAGTACCAAGTACAAGAGTGTAATTATAACAGGCTCCAGCACACAACAGGTGACAATGGCACCACCAGATCCCCATCAACAGACAGCATTCAGAAAGACCCTAGGGAGTTTGCCTGGTTTGGCCCCAGTTCCTGTTTGTCCAGGCCAACACAGCAGCCTACCCGCAGTACCTGTACTTCCGAGACAACAAAGCAAAGATGGAGGTGTGGAGGTTATGGGGAATCAAGCCTCGGTTGACCTTTGGAACCACAGAGTTTTAGAAGTTCAGAAGAATGCTGCAGTGCCCTCTGAAACCTTGTTTTTGGCAAGTCTACAGATGAAAATAACATAGGAATGAAGAATGTTGGTAGGATACCTGCCTTGCTGCAACTGTTGAGAAAATCTATTGATGTGGATATAAGGGAGTTTGTTACAGTTCTTGGGAATATATCCTCGTGTGATGCTGTGAAGATAACAATCATCTGAGATGCCCTCTAACCTTAACAAATACTATGATCATTCCACATTCTAGATGGAATAGTTCTTCCTTCCATGATGATCATAAAATTAAATTTCAGACTTCATTTGCTCTGCCTAACATGACAGGTTGCCTGAGGAACCAGAGCTCCGCAGAGGAGGCAGGAAAAGCAAATGCAGTCTTGCGAGGGGCTAGTGAACTCGCTGTTGTATGTGATCGCATGTACGTGATCCCACATGTGTGAACACATCCACTTATGACAGCAAGACAGTGGAGAACAGCATGTGAACACTGTGGAACCAGTCCTAGCACCCGGAGCTGGAGCTCTGCAGGCCCAGCTGCTGGAACTGAATGAACTGGATGACCTGCTCAGAAAAGACTCCCAGCAGACTCAGAACCAAGCTCTTGGAGCAATGAGGAAAAGAAGAGGCCTCCACAAGAGGACCAGTGGGATGGAGTCGGTCATATCCCTGGGCTGTCTAAGTCCCCCAAAGGGGTCGAGATGCTGTAGTCTCTGTTGGTAGTAAAACCATATCTGACTCTTCTAGCAGAAAGTTCCAACCCAGTCACCTTGCAAGGCTCTTCGGGATCTCTCTAGAACCTGTCTGCCAGCAACTAGAAGTTTGCAGCTTACATCTGGGCAGCTATCTGAAAAGAGAAATGGCTCCCTGTCCTTGTAGAACTGCAGATGGATAACGATAGGGTTGTTTCTTCTGTAGCAACTGCCTTCAGGAACATGGTGCTTGACATTTGAAACAAGGAGCTCACAGGGAAGTATGCCATGTGAGTCCTGGTCAACTGCCTCCCGGGTGACAACAGCCTGAGCATCCTGTCTGACGAAACCACAGCAGCCATCTGCTTCACCCTGCACGAGGTCACAAGCAAGAACATGGAGAACACCAAGACCCTGGCCAACTTACGAGGCATCGAGAAGCTGGTGAACATTACCAAAGGCAGAGGAGACAGGTCTTCTCTGAAAGTGGTGAAGGCAGCAGCCAGGGTCTTGAATACATTGGGGGCAATATCAGGATCTCTGGAGCATTTAGAAGAAGGATGGGTGGAATCAAAACCATTTTATTATACCTGTGTCGACATTAGGGTGAGATCACTTCATAACACATCACTTTGCTGAGTGTTTCCTCTGTAGTGCAGAAGCTTCTCAGCTTGATGTAATGCTGTTTGTCAATTTTTGCTTTAACTGTGCTTCTTGGGGTCTTTTGCAAGGGTCTCTGCCTATGCCAATGTCTTGCAGAATTTACCAGTGTTCTCTATTAATTTGATGATACTGGGTCATAGATTTAGGTCTTTGGTGCATTCTCAATGGAGTTTTGCTTAAGGTGTAAGGTATGGGTCTAGTTTAATACTTCTGGAGATCCAGTTTCCCTTGCCCCATTTGTTGAAGAAAGTGTTCTTGTTCCAGGGATTGATTCTGGCTCCTTTGTCAAAGGTAAATTGGTGTAATGCATGGATTGGTTTCTGGAGTTTTTATTCTGTTCCATTGGTCTATAAGTCTGCTCATGTGTCAGTACCATGCTATTTCATTATATCTGCACTGTAGTATGTCTTGAAATAAAGTATTGTGATGCCTCTCACTTTTTGTTTATAAGATTCCTGTAGCTATTTAGGGGTTTCTTGTGTTTCCATATGAATTTTACAATCATTGTTTTCTAGATCTGAAAATAATGTCATGGGTATTTTGATTGGGTCACACTGAGTCTGTAAATTTCTTTTGGTATTATGGACATCTTGATGATGTTGATTCTTCCAATACATGAATATTGAAGATTTACACATGTTAATGTCTTCCATTTATTTCTTTAGTGTTTTGTAATTTTCACTGTAGAGATCTTTGACATCTATGATAACATTTATTCCAAAGAACTGAATTATTTTTGGAGCTACTGTGAACCAGCCTGATCTTAAAAGTTCTTTCTCAGCCATTACATTGTCTCTGTATGCAAAGGCTATCAATCTGTGTTGAATTTATATCCTGCCACTTACCAAACTATTTTATGAGTGCCAATAGTCTCTCAATGGAGTTTTTGGGATCCCCTTTATATTAGAATCATGTCATCTGCAAATAGGAATAGTTTGATTTCCTTCTTCCCTATCTGTATCCCTTTGATTCCGTTTTCTTGCCTAATGGCTCTGCCTAAAACTTCCAGGACTATACTGAATAGCAATGGTGAGAGTAGCCATCCTTGTCTGGTTCCAGATCTTAGTGCCAATGCTTCCAACTTTGCTCAATTCAATAAGATGTTGGTTGTGGGTTTGTCATAAATTACCTTGACTGTCTTGAGGAAAATTTTTTCTATACCCAATTTGCTTAAGGTTTTCATCATGAAAAGATGTTGTATTTTTTTATCAAATGCTTTCTATGTATCTATTGAGATCCTAGGAGGCTGGGGGTACAATACATTCATACACAGCTGCGCGGTTGCCTCCCAGCCAGGCTCAAAGTCAGTGGGTCTGTGGACTTTTCTCTCTACTAGAATCCCTGGATCATACACATACTTAAAAGTCACTGGCAAATGTTGCTCTCTCCCCACCACTGCTGCCAGTACTGCTGGGATGATGATGTCCTGTCTCAGCCAGTTGCTGTGAGTACCTGTGCCTCCTGCCAAAACCCAAAATGGCAACTGCCCTTTCTCAACCAGGCAGCAGGCATTGTCATGGGGAAGTTGGGGCAAGATAAACATGGCCTCTCTACTTCCACTGGATCTGCAGGCAAATGCTATCAACCACTAGCACCCAGGGATCTAGTCCAGACTCATGCCAGGCTCATTCGCTCTTGCTCTCTCTCTCTCTCTCTCACCAGCGTTTGCTGCAATCTGGCCTCAGCTCCGTCTCCAAGCTGCCACCTGCTCTGGCTCTCAACTGCAACAGTCATGTGTTGTGTTCATTTTTGCTGCACATCTGCACCCTCCATACAGGTCCCTGACATTGTTCTTCCTCTGGAAGGATTTCTAGTGTGGTTTTCTCTTCAATTCTCCTGAGAGTGTACTTCTTCCAATTTTTACTATTTACTCCTAGCCTAGCACATATGCCATTCCCTAATCTACCATCTTGGAATCAACTATGTTTCAAATCCACTTCATAAACCGATCACAGCCATATTTCTATCCTCCATTTCAATGCACCAACCTCGCATGCTGCTTAGCCAGTATTGCAAACCATTACTCTAACCCTGGAAATTATGTTTATCTATCTGACTTATCTAAAAATTCTCCCATTATGACTTTTTAAAATTTTTATTTTTTGTATATTTTGTTGAAAATACCAGTTTTTAATATCGGTAAAACATTCTTCAGTTCATTATTATTTTACATGTAACATTATAAATTTACCTTCAAATAGGCAGAAGAAACAAAGGATAGACAATAGGACTTGATTACGTCTCAGCGATTTACCACAGAAAATGTATGCAAAAAACCCACCATCATCAAAGCAAACATAATCTACCATGCAGGTCTAGGTTTTATTCTCCTTTAGGTGATATGTTTTGGAAAATTTCATTCTAATAGCATTAGCACTTAATGAGAGAGCACTCATCTTTCTAAAAATAAAATTTAGTATTTAGATTCTCAAAACTCACCAAACCAACTGGAAATGTCTGGTTGTAAAACAACGTTACGCTCGAGTCAGTTTCACATCATAAGTGATAATCTATGACTAATGTCAGTAGGCAAATTCCAATTCTAAACACTACTAGAGATTGCCACTGTGATTTTCAACTGTGTTGACATTCATCTTATTGCTGAATTGTAGGCAAATTTCTTTGGCAACATTTACATATCAGTTAATGCCACAGGAAAAACTGTTACATTCATTTAGCATCTCAAAACTGCATTAGAATTACTTAAATACATTTTCTAATAGATTCTACAATAAGAAAGCCTCCAAACATGCCTATTAACAAAATCTGTTCAAAGAACACAAACTATTAAAGAATCAAGACACGTATCTCACATGAACTACTTAAATTTAATTGTATAAGTTATAGCTAAATTCACCAAATAATTTAAAAAATCCTTAAACAAAAGCAGATGTTTTTAAAATAAATTTCTTTATAATTTACCTAACTTTATTACAATTCACAGCTCTTTAGCCTGCATTTTAACATAAAATGTCTAAATCAATCTTGATGTGAGTTATTAAATTCAACTCAATATGCACTGCTTTATTTAGAAAATATGTACTAAGCACCATCATGTACCAAGACTCACAAGCAATAACTCCAGCAGTATATGTCATAATTCATCTTCAGAATAATTTTTGGGTTGCTTTAAATAAAGATTACACATCTGTGTGTGTGTCTGTGTGCATACACACCTGTTTAGGTGTGTGTGTGTATATATATATATTTATGTATATATCTTGAATGAGGAGGACATTATATGTAACAGTGATTCAAGTCAGAAACATAAAAATTTTATCAAATTATTAACTTACCTGGGTCAAATTGTTTTTTGAAGTCCTCGCATCCAATTCTAGTGTTCTATGTGTCACTTCAAGTTGTTTCACTACTACTTCTTTATGATATTGCTTTTCTTTTCTTCTTAACTGTTCCCTAGTTTTTTTACACAATATATTGGTATTGGTCTCTTTTTCTTGTTTTAGGTAAAAACATGCTTGTTTCAAAATTCATTTTATTAGAAATTAAAAGATTCATTGTATAATCTTATACTACCATGCAGCTTATACACTCTAATAAAATTTATGTTCTCAAATATTTTATTATAACATTTCATTTAAATGTCTTCTTCAAAGGACAGAGTTGAAAGTTAGCTGTGAAAGCACATTCTTAAAACAAAAAAAAATAGCACATTCTTGAGATTGGTATTGTGTAGTGTGTCAAGCTACCGCCTGTGATAGTAACACCCCGTGTGGCCACAGGTTCCTCTCCCAGCAGATGTACTTCCTATCTAGCTCCTTGCTAATGGCCTGCGAAAGCAGCACAAGGTGACTCAAGTACTTCAATCTCTGCTGCCACCTATTTGGGAGACCTAGAAGAAGCTCCTAGTTCCTGGCTTCAGCCTGGCTCAATCCTGGCCATTGAGGCCACCCACAGTGAACCAGCAGCTTGCTCACTCGCTCACTCGCTCTATCTCTCTCACTCTTTCAAATAAATAAATAAATCTTTGTTATCAGAAATTACATTCTGATAATTGATAAGATTCTGTTACTTGCAACTGATAACTGTTATCAAGAAAGGAATTTTGAAATTATCCAGTAGAGTTATGAGTTGAAAATTACCTCTTCCTCCTCCATTCATAATTACATCTCCATTAGGAAAGGTAATTTAGAATTAACCAATCTTTAATGAGTTTTTTAAAAAAGATTTATGCATTTATTTGAGAGGCAAAGTTATATATAGAGAGAAGAGACACACAGAGAGGTCTTCCATCTGCTGGTTTACTCTCCAAATGGCCACAACAGCAGGAACTCAGAGGATATGAAGTGAGGAGCCAGGAACTTCTTCCTTATCTCCCATGCCGGGGTGCAGAGCCCCAAGCACTTGGCACCTTCTAATGCTTTCTTAGGCCTTAAGCAGGCAGCTAGATCAGAAGTGGAGCACCCAGGACTTGGACCAGTACCTATATAGAATGCTGGTGCTACAGGCAGAGGCTTAACTTACTATGCAACAGTTCTGGCCCTTAATGAGTTATTTTTTATAAACACCTTTATATAGTTATTAGAACTACAGTTTCAACTTTATCAAATATTACAGGTATCCTTAAAAATTATTTAGCGTGTAAGACAGCCTATAATTTATATATGTCTTTTATATGATACACACAGCTACTGATTAATATCATCCAAGGGTAAAGAGTATATGTGTCACTTCATATAATTGATATTTTTGGTAGTACTTTCAACTGAATGATTATTAAACATTTTATAAACAATTTCAAAAGATGACATTGTTAATTAAGCAAGGGTGCTAAGTGCTTTCAACATAGAACATGAAACGAATTTTTGCATGTAAAAAAGAGAAATGTTCAAGAAACTGATCAGTGATTACTTTCCAGTTTTCTGTTATCCCATGCATGTAAAAATAAGTAAATTTCAAAATATTGAAAGGTTAAAAAAATTTCAACTATATATCTGTTGATGGAAGTATAAGCTTATGTACTTTCTTGACAAAAATTTAGAAATATTAACCAAGCATTTAAAAAGGTTTCCTCAAATTTAGCCATCAAATTCCATATTGAAGTATTTAATCAAAGTAAAGCACTTGGCATATAAAGAAATGTTTATATAGAAGATGTTTGTTGCAGCATGACTTATAACAAAATATAAACTCAAAATACAATGTTCAAAACAAATCATGAAACTTCTATATGGTGTGCTTCTATGTAACTAAGATTACAATCTGAAGAAGATGTATTTAATTATTACAAGCATTCACACTTAAGAACTTGTACATTATTTGCAATTCTTGTGAATTTCACACTTCCTAAGAGTAGAAGTTTCTACCCTGTAAAATCCCAGAATATCTCGGATGGTCAAAGATGAAAAATCCTCCACAAAATACCAGCTCATTGAATCCAACAACACATCAGAAAGATCATTCACCCAGACCAAGTAGGATTTATCTCTGGTGTGCAGGTATGGTTCAACATTTGCAAACCAATCAATGTGATACATCACATTAACAAATTGAAGAAAAAACATATTATCTCAACAGATTTAGAAAAAGCACATAATAAGATATAGCATCCTTTCATGATGAAAATCTTAAGCAAACTGAGTATAGAAGCAACACTCATCAACACAATCAAGACAAACTATGACAAACCCACCGTGAGCACCTTATTGAATGAGTAGAAACTGGAGGCATTCCCCCTAAGATCTGGAACCAGACAGGAATGCCCAACTCTCAGCACTGTTATTCCATACAATCATGGAAGTTTTAGCCAGAGACACTAGGCAAGAAAATAAAACCAAAGAGATACAAATTGGGAAGGAAGAAGTCAAACTATTCCAATTTGCAGATGACATTTCATATATAGGGGATGCAAAAGACTCCACTAAGAGATTACCGAAACTCATAGAAGAGTTTGGTAAAGTGGCAGAATATCAAATTAACACACAAAAATCAAATCAGTAGCTGATCTATACATAGACAATGCCATAACAGCTACAAAAATTCATACCTTCAAATAAATTTAACCAAGGATGTCAAAGATTTCTATGATGAAAATTACAAAACATTAGAAAGTGAAATAGAAGAAGACATAAAAAGTAGCAAAATCTTCGATGTTCATGGTTTGGAAGAATCAAAATCATGAAAATGTCTGTACTACCAAAAGCAACTTACAGATTCAATTCATTCCTAATCAAAATACCCATCAGATTTTTCTCAAATTTAGAAAGAATGAAGCTAAAATACATAAGGAAACACTAGAGACCCTGAATAGCTAAAGCAATGTTAAACAATAAAAAAAGCTGGAGGCATCACAATACCAGACCTCAAGATATACTATAGGGCAGATATAATATAAACACATTGGTGCTGGCACAAAAACAGATGTATAGACCAATGGCATAGAATAGAAACTCCAGAAATCAATCCATGCATCTACAATGAGCTTACTTTTGACAAAGAAGATAAAATCAATCCCTGGAGAAGGGACAGTCTCTTCAACAAATCGTGATGGGGAAACTGGATCGCCTCATGCAGAAATATGAAATAAGACCCCTACTCTACACTTTACACAAAATTCCACTCAAAATAGATCAAGAGCTAAATCTATGTCTCAATACCATCAAATTAATAAATAACATTGAGGAAACCCCATAGTATATTGGCATAGACAAAGATTTCTTAGAAAAGACCCCAGAAAAGCACAGGCAATCAAAGCCAAAACTGACAACTGGGATTGCATCAAACAGGGAAGCTTCTGTACTTAAAAAGTAACACTCAGCAAAGTGAAGAAGCTCCAACAGAATGAAAGAAATATTTGCAAATTATGCAGCTGATAAAAGATTAATATCCACAGTTTGTAAAGAGCTCAAGAAACTCAATCACAACAAAACAAACAATCCAGTTAAGAAATAGGCAAAGGACTTTAATAGGCATTTTTCAAGAGTGGGAATGTAAATGGGCAACAGGCACTTGAAAAAATACTTAACATACTTCATTTTGATTTATTTAAGGAACATAAATTTCATGGATTCCATACATACATATTTAGGAACATAGTGATTCTACCTACCCTCCATCCCACCCATACTCCCACTTGTCTTCCTCTACCCCATCCTCTTTCCATTCTTATTTTTCACAAATATCTATTTTCAGTTAACTTAAAACACATAAGATTACCTTATACTAGTTAAAGAGTTCAACAAATAGTATGAAGGAATAAAAATTAGTATGAAGGACAGTACTGACCCAGTAGAGTCAGGCATTCATGGCTACAATTTATTGGGTTAAAAAAGTTTTAAAAAATCAGTGAAATGCAAATCAAAACCACAATGAGTTTCACTCCAGTTAGAATGGCTCTCATACAGAAATCAACAACAATAAATGTTCCCAAGGATGTGGGGGTAAAGGTACCCTAATCCACTGTTGGTGGGAATGTAAACTGGTGCACCTGCTGTAGAAGATAGCATGGAGATACTTCAGAAATCTCAATATAGACCTATCATATGATCCAGCCATCCCACTCCTGGGAATTTACCCAAATGTAAAGAAATCGGCAAATGAAAGAATAACCTGTACACCATGTTTATTACAGCTCATATGAAATGAACCAAGATGTCCATCAACTGAAGACTGGGTAAAGAAATTATGGTATATATACACTATGGAATAATATACGGTGGTAAAAATGAAATAATTTCTTTTGCTACAAAATGGATGTAACTAGAAATGATTACTTAGAGTAAAAAGCCTGTCCCAAAAAAGACAAATACCTGTGTTCTTTCTGATCTGTCATAACTAACAGAGTATGTAAAAGGTAATCTACTGGGATGAAATTGACATTTTGAGATGTGATGATTTTGAACAGCTCTTGTCTTGAGTACTGAGGAGCAGTGTTTTTGTTTTTTTTGTTTGTTTGTTTGTTCATACTATTTGTTGAACTCTTCACTTAGTGTATGGTTAATCTTGTGTATATAAAGTTAACTGAAAATAGAAATTTGTTAAAAATAAGAATAGAAAGAGGAGAGGAAGGAGGAAGAATGGTGGGATTATGGGTGGAATATAAGGTAGGAAGAATTACTATGTTCCTGAATTTGTATACATGATGCATGTTTGTATTCCTTAAATAAATCAAATTGAAAAAAGTTAAAGTCTTCAAAAACAGATGTTCCATTTCTGCGCCAATTTTGAATGAACCATCTTTTACCATAAAATATACATGAATTGAAGTTCTAAAGATAATTTAAAGCACCAAGCATTCTTATACCTAGATATGTGCATAAAATTAAATTCACTATGCGTTCTGCTACATCATTTCTAGTAGTATAGATGGACTAAAAGCTTCTATGTTAAAATAAAAGAAAATCCCCTTGACTGCCACATTTTTTTGTCAAGTATCTTAACCTTACTGCAGTATTGATATAGTTGAGTATTCTCTTGTTTGGCTTGTAGATTACACTATTCTTTCCTATTTTCATTGAAAGTAGTCACCCTTAACATTGCTTCACTGGAAAGTAAAGAATTCGTAGACTTTACCTTTTAAGACGATCGAGCTCACTCAGATTGTTGTCATAAATCACTTGCAGTAGACTTCTAGTGAGTGAAAAGCCATTCTCTATCACTGGTCTAATCCCATACTCCATGGAAGTCACTTTTTCATTTTCATTTTTTGTTTCCTTTATATGCAAGGCAGGGCAGCTATTTTAAAAAGATCATTAACATGACAATGTTTTTTACTCAACTGGGAAAGATTAAAGAAGCACAATTTTAAGAAAATTCTTATTCTTCCCCAACTTAATTCATTTACTAATTCAAAACAAGATAGGAAGTGATAACTACATGTAAAGAAAGGTGTACAGGGAATTTAAAAAATTACATGAAAATTGGGTGAAAAGTAGTTCTGATACAAAAACTTTGAAATCCAGGCAGAATAATTTTTGTAACATGCATTTTATACACTTACTGAACACACCTTGTTATATCAAACAGGTAAAAACACAATTATGATATAAGGTAATATGGAAGGGTTGATATTGCGGGCGTGGTGTTTCACCTATTCGTTAATACCTATTCGTTAATAAGCAGGTGGCCGGCGCTGTGGCATAGTAGTAAGAGCACTGCCTGCAGTGCTGGCATCCCATATGGGTGCCAATTTGAGCCCCTGCTGCTCCATTTCTGATCCAGCTCTCTGCTGTGCTCTGGGAAGGAAGTGGAAGGTGGCCCAAATCTTTGGGCCTGTGTACCTCCTTGGAAACCCAAAGGAAATTCCTGGCTCCTGGTTTCAAATCAGTGCAGCTCTAGCCATTGTGGCCATTTGAGGAGTGAACCAGCAGATGGAAGACCTCTCTCTGTCTCCCTGTCTCTGTCACTCTGTAACTCTGCCCTTTAATAATAAATCTTTATATATATATAAACATACAGGGTAAGACATTCTTGTCCCATATCAAAGGGCTTGGATTTGAATCCTGGATTCACTATCAATTCCAGCTTTATAATATACTGGGAAACACCAGAAGACTGGTCCAAGTAGTTTAATCCCTGTCACTTTTATGCAAGACATGGTTTGGGTTGCTGACTATGGGCTTAAGCCTGGCTCAGTTCTGGCCATTGAGGGAATTTATGGGGTGTACTAGAAGAGGGGAGTTATCTCTGACTGCTTCAGATTCTTTTTTTAAAATATATATTTCTTATTTGAAAGGCAGAGTTACATAGAGGCAGAGAGAGAGAGAGAGAAGTCTTCCATCCACTGATTCATTCCCTAAATGGTTGCAATGGTGAGAGCTAGGCTGATCTGAACCCAGGAGCCAGAAGCTGATTCCAGGTCTCCCACACAAGTGCAGGGACCCAAGGACTTGGGCCATCTTCTACTGCCTTCCCATGCCATAGCAGAGAGCTGGATCAGAAGTGGAGCAGCCGAGATTCAAATCAGCACCCATATACGATGCCAGCACCTCAGGCAATGGCTTCAGCAGCTACGCCAGAGTGCCAGCCCCTGTTTCAGACTCTTAAATAAAAAAGTGTTGATATTGGAAACTGATATCTGAGCACAGGAAAGCTTTACAAAGGAGGTAAAAAAAAAAAGGAAAAAAGAACTCATGAGGGAAAAATGTGGATGAAAACCATTTCATTTCCAGAATGTGCAAACAAAGAGTAGGCATGTGATATCTGATATATTTCTTTGGAATTTGTAAGAAAAATATAAAATACCTAAATCTATCATTGAGAGATGAGGCCTACACTAATTTTGAATGCTACACTAAAATATAGATGTCCACAGTCTATAAGCATAATATTCAGATTTGGAAGTAGCAGTTATAATTGTGCTATATTTTTGGTTTCATTGTTAAATATAATAATGCCAACCTTAGATGAAAATTTAAAATTTAATTTTTTAATTTACTTTGACAGGCAGAGTGGCCGATGGAGGAGGAGGAGGGAGGGAGGAAGGAGCAGAAGAAGGGAGACGGATCACCTATCCTCTGGGCCAGGGTGAAGTCAGGAGTCAGGAAATCAATCATTGTTTCCTGCCTGGGTGTATGGACTCAAGTACTGGAGCCATCATCTGTTGATTTCCAGGATATTATATTATATTTTATTATGTAAGGTATAATAAAACATATATGTATATATAATAAAACATATATACATACACACATAAATGTAGACTGCTAGAGTCGAAAGATTACAAATGTATATAATTGCCAACTAAAATAAATAGAATGAACCCAGATAAAATCAATTTTTAAGTGAGTATTATTCTAATGTCTAAAAAAACTCCAAGGATAAGCTGCATTCACTCAATTAATAAAAAATTATTGAGTAGCTGCTCATTGCATACATGGTAGGGCCTCTTCTATGTACAAAAATATGGCAGTGAAAAGACAAAATCCAACATAAAAGAGTAAAGCAAAAACATTAGCAATGAACAAGCTATATAAAAACAAAATACAGTATGTTAGAGGAAGAGAACAAAAGCAGAGAATCAATGTTTTCCATGTTTAAGGGAGGTGTGGACCTATTAGAAGGCCAAAGAAGATTTTGCTTAGGAAGAAAACAATTGAAGGAAGGAAAGGAATCAGCCAGGTGGACATCTAAGGAAGAATCTTCAAACACAGAAGGAGCCCAGGTATGTTTAAGGAATAGTGAAAATTTCTGTAGCATAAGTAGAATGAAGGAGATGGAAAATCACAAATTGAAATCACAGCAATAAGGAGGAGTGAGGTCACAACATGTATTGCCTGGTAGGCATTAGAAAGAAGTTTAGTATGTGAAGTCAAATGAAATCACCAGGTTTTAAGTAGAAAAAACGACATAATCTGACTTTAAGAGATCCCCTGTGTTAAGATTAATGAAAAGAGGATTTATGAAAAAATAAACAAGAGAATCACTGAGGAATCTACAAACTAATATAGACAGTAGCTGATGCTGACTTGGATATGATGTATCTAGCTTCTGGACATATTGTGAAGGTATACTTGACAACATGTGCTGTCACATAAAGGCTGAGGTATAAGAATGCTCCAAGGCTGTTGGTAGAACAGATAAAAGTGTTGCCATTCGCTGAAGTAGGAAAAACTATATGAGGGGCTGGTATGAACAAGAACATCATTAGCACAGCACTAGGCCACCTAAATTTTAAATACTGAATAAATGACCAAAGAGAAGTGTTGAGTAGGCAGGTTATTATCTAAAATATGGAATTAAGGAAAGAGATCTAAGTTGCAGTTAAAAATTCAGAATTCATTTGCATATACAAGATAGTGAAGCCATGAGAGAAAAGATCAAAGACAGCCTTGGGAAATACCCATGTTTTAAAAGTAGAAGATGAGAGAAACAAGGGAAACAACACAGGATGGAGTAGAAAAGAAATGGAAAGAGATTGGTTGAGAATTATACCCTGAAAGCCAAGTCAAGAAATGATCTTGAAGGAAAAGTGTTCTACAGACATAATAAAATGTTACAAAATCTAAGCTGAGACTTCATGCCCAAATATGTTTAACTTGTCCTAAAATAGTCTGCCCACAAATATAACACCATAAGTAATTGTTATTTTCCTATTGTTTCAAACTATATTGACAAAATGTATTATTTGAAAAGAATTGTTTAAAGATGTTTTACCCTAAAAGGATAAAATATTTTTAATGGTTAATTAAAATGAGAGCCTGTGACAGCACTTTGCCACAGAGGGTTAAGCCACGATATGAAGTGCCACCATCCCATATGGGCCAGTTCGAGTCCTGATTTCTCTGCTTCCAATTCAGCTCCCTGCTAAGGTGCCTGGGAAATCAGTGGAGGACTGTCCAAGTTTTTGGGCTCATGCAACCATACGAGAGACCTAAAATAAATGCCTGGCTTCAGGCTGGCCCAGGTCCAGCCATCGCTGCCATTTGGGGAGCAAACCAGTGGATGCAAGATCTCTCTGTATCTCTCTCTCTGTCCTTCTAACTAGAAAGAGAGAGAGAGAGAAAGAGACAGAGAGAAAGAGACAGAGAGAAAGAAAGAAAGAAAGAAAGAAAGAAAGAAAGAAAGAAAAAGAAAGAAATATAGAAAGAAAGAAAGAAAGGCGGGAGGAAGGGAGGGAGGGAAGGAAGGAAGGGGGAGGGGGAAAGGAGGGAAGGAGGGAAGGAGGGGAGGAATATTTAATGAAAAGAAAAGGAGACTTTGGAAAGTACTACAACATTGATTAAAAATCAGTAGCAATCGAGAGAAAACCTGTTTTGGAGGGGTTGTGGGAATGTAAACAACTGGAGTGAGTCCAAGAGTGAAGAGAAAGTCAATTTGAGTCAGTGAATAGAGACAGTTCTTCCAAGGAGATCACTGCTAAGGCCATGATCATTGAAGATCTATTTTTCTCCATGTTTAACTGAATTTTTCAATCCTCGCATAATGATTTTAGGGAATATCTGTGATTCTCTAAAGTTGCTGGAACTAAAAATGTTCTGATCAAAACAGTAAATAATTCATAAACTTAAGGAAGTGAATTCCTTGAAAAGTTCCTCATTAGGTATTATATAACTGAATATTATTATTCTGCTGATAATACTGAAAATCTGTGGCTGGCGCCGTGGCTCCATAGGCTAATCCTCCGCCTTGTGGCGCCTGCACACCGGGTTCTAGTCTCGGTTGGGGTGCCGGATTCTGTCCTGGTTGCCCCTCTTCCAGGCCAGCTCTCTGCTATGGCCTGGAAGTGCAGTGGAGGATGGCCCAGGTGTTTGGGCCCTGCACCCACATGGGAGACCAGGAAAAGTACCTGGCTCCTGGCTTCAGATGAGCGTGATGTGGCGGCCATTGGAGGGTGAACCAATGGAAAAGGAAGACCTTTCTCTCTGTCTCTCTCTCACTGTACACTCTGCCTGTCAAAAAATAAAAAAAAAAATATTGAAAATCTAAAATTTTCAAGGGCAACTTCTGGGTTGCTTAAAAGCCAGGAGGCAGGAGATTCTTCCATGTCTCCCACGTGGGTGCAGGGTCCTGTGCACCTGGGCCATCTTTGGCTGCTTTACCAGGCAAGGTAGTACAGAGCAGGATCAGAAGAAGAGCAGCCAGGATTTGAACTGGCACCCATATGGGATGACAACACTGCAGGTGGAAGTTTAATCTTGTATGCCACTGCACCAGCTCCACAACTAGAGTTTTTGTAAGCTTTATTTGATGTCACTCCTGAAAAATACAGTATGATACATTCTGAAACATTCTTTAGCCTGTAGTCCATCTTCTAACGAAAGAGTTATTGCATTAGCAGTACCAATGTTTTGGCATAGGTTCAGTAAAACTGTGCCCAAGAATAAATCCAGCGGAATCTTTCCTAGGACTGTTCATAAAGTTTTATTGATATTAAGCCACACTAATTGCCTTAAAGAATATGGAGGATTTCGCACCACAACTATAGAGACCTTCTGATCCAAAAAGCCTGAAATATTCATTATCTGGTTCTTTACAGAAAAAGTTTTCAACTCCTGCTTTAGCAGATTAAACATCCTTTGATGCATTTGAGAAGGTTTACCTAACAAACTGAAATGCTTATAAGGAATATGGACCACAATATGCAAATACTGAATAATGCTCAAATTATTTTATAGATTCTATATTTTAATATTTAGGCTCAAATTGGGATCAAAACTCAAAAATAAAATAGGTATTGGTTATAAGAAGTACAAGTGTCCCATGGACTCCCCTTTTGCAATTCAGCAGATATGGTATTTTAATAAAATGTGCTTAAGATGCATCATCAAACTAGTCACATTAAATATACTCTAGTTGTGAAAACGCAGTGTACTATAGATAAAACCTCATTTTTAAAAATGGTTGCATACTGAGTTCTTTTATTGGTATGACAATTTATTTCTATTTTGATTGGTATTTAGACTGATTCTAAATTTTTGATAAACAATGTTATTGTGAATGTCATATACATATGTACGAAGGCAACATGTTTATTAACCTATTTTCATTTTATTTGGAAGGCAGAGAAACAGATCTAGATAGACTAACATATTAAGAAAGATTTTCCATCTGCTGTTTCATTCACAAATACCCAGCACAGCCAGGACTGGGCAAGGCTCCCCAAGGGTCTGAATTTCCACCCAAGTCTCCTAAGTGGGTATGGACACCCAAGTACTGGAGCCACCATCTACTGCCTCCCATGAGATACACTCTTAGGAAGGTAGATAGGGGCCAGCGCCACAGCTCAATGGGCTAATCCTCTATCTGCAGTGCCGGCACACTGGGTTCTAGTCCTAGTCGGGGTGCTGGATTCTGTCCTGGTTGTCCCTCTTCCAGGCCAGCTCTCTGCTGTGGCCCGGGAGTGCAGCAGAGGATGGCCCAAATGCTTGGGCCCTGCACCCCATAGGAGACCAGCAGAAGCACCTGGCTCCTGCCTTCGGATCAGCATGGTGCGCCGGCCGCAGCGGCCATTGGAGGGTGAACCAACAGCAAAGGAAGACCTTTCTCTCTGTCTCTCTCTCTCACTGTCCACTCTGTCAAAAAAATAAATAAAAATAAAAATAAAAAAAATAAAGCAAGGTAGATAGGAAGCAGAGAAGTATGGACTCAGACCATGCACTCTCATATAGGAAGAGTGCATGTCACTGGCCCTGCAACATATTTGTATAAATATCTTTATCATATGTGTTTTACATCCTTAACACTAATTGTCCTATTACATCTTAGATAATAGATGATGACAATACATCACAAATGTCATAAACTTATGGGTGTAGTAGTGTACAATAGACCATACTATGCTATCTTGTCAGGTCTAATCCCTGAGTGAAGTTGCTACAAGGACAAAGAACGGTTTATTTCAAATTTTGACATGTGCTCTTAAGTTACCCTTCAAAGAGTCTTATAATTGTATTTACCAACAGTAGATAATAACTTTTCCCTCACATTTGCCAACTATTAACTTTTAAACAAATACTTAGCAGTACGGTTTACAAATATTATTTGTTTCTTGATATATTTCTAATTCCAAAGCATGGAATAAAATCCTTAGTAAAAATATGTTAATCATAGATAATAACCCAATTATAAGTGGTATAGCACAATAAATATCCCATCATCCAATGTTAACTATTGCTATAGACTTACAAATAATATTCTTCATTCTTCTTAGTGGCAGATTGCTGGTTGTCAAGGTCCCCACTCTTTCTCTGCTGATTCAGTCCACAACCATCACTGTCATCAGGAGGAGCAGCACTTTCATGCAAGTTTCTTAACACTTCCATTTCCTTACTTTGGCAACGCTGCTCTTTTTCTTCAAACTTTAATGAAAGTTTCATATTAAAATCGCTGTTAGTACATAAATATAAGCATTTTTGTGTTCATTTATTATTCATTTTATGTAGCACATTTATTGCTACATAAATGTTTTACATACAGTTTTCTACTACAGTGACAGAAAAAAATTTTGAACATCCTGCTACTGGTTGGGAAAAGTTTATCAATAATACCTTGGATATGACACATGTTACAATTCTGCAATAAAACAACAATGGAAACTGGAGAAAGAGAAACAATTCACCTGCGATAATTAGCTCTTACAATACACCACAGGCAACAGACAGTGTGCTAGAATCCTACAATGGTCTTAAAATGCTAATGTAAATTTCTGATATTATTGATATATTTTTGACAGGCAGAGTGGACAGTGAGAGAGAGAGAGAGAGAGAGAGAGACAGAGAGAAAGGTCTTCCTTTTGCCGTTGGTTCACCCTCCAATGGCCGCCATGGCTGGTGCACCGTGCTGATCCGAAGGCAGGAGCCAGGTGCTTCTTCTGGTCTCCCATGGTGTTCATGTTCATGTAGGGTTATGATAAATAATCCTACACTTCTTGAAGATATATTTACATATAAGAGAGAGAGAGGGAAAAAGAGAGAGAGAGAGAGAGCGCGCACTTTCATCTGTTGGTTCCTTCCCCAGATGGCTGCAATGGCAAACACTGTGCAAGGCTGAAGTCAAGTGTCAGGAACTGCATCCAGGTCTCCCAGATCAGTAGTAGGGGGCCAAACGCTTGGGTCATCCTCCACTGTCTTTCTCACGCCATTATCAGGGAGTCAGATTGAAAGTAAGAAGCCAGATTATGAACTGTCACCAAGTGGGATGCTGGCATCAAAGGTGGCAGCTTCACCCACTATGTAATGTCAGTTCCCTTTTAAAATATTTATTTATTTATTTGAAAGTAACAGAGAAAGACAACCCTATAACTTAACTACATTGTAATAAACTTTTATCCTGGAAACATCAATTTTTTTTATTTTTTTTTTAACTTTTATTTAATGAATATAAATTTCCAAAGTACAGCTTATGGATTACAATGGCTTCCCCCCCATAATGTCCCTCCCACCCGCAAACCTCCCCTTTCCCACTCCCTCTCCCCTTCCATTCATATCAAGATTCATTTTCGATTCTCTTTATATACAGAAGATCAGTTTAGCATACATTAAGTAAAGATTTCAATAGTTTGCTCCCACACAGAAGCATAAAGTGAAAAATAATAGACGATTTCTTAAATGATGATGAAATCAGATCAGACCTATTGTCATGTTTAATCCCAGTGAGAGTCAAGTTGGGAATTGATAATTTCTTCTTCTTTTTTTTTTTTTTTTACAGAAGATCAGTTTAGTATACATTAAGTAAAGATTTCAACAGTTTGCACCGCCATAGAAACATAAAGTGAAATATACTGTTTGAGTACTCGTTATAGCATTAAGTCTCAATGTACAGCACATTAAGGACAGAGATCCTACATGAGGAGTAAGTGCACAGTGACTCCTGTTGTTGACTTTACAAATTGACACTCCTGTTTATGGCATCAGTAATCTCCCTATGCTCCAGTCATGAGCTGCCAAGGCTATGGAAGCCCCTTGAATTCTCCGACTCTTATCTTGTTTAGACAAGGTCATAGTCAAAGCGGAGGTTCTCTCCTCCCTTCAGAGAAAGGTACCTCCTTCTTTGAAGACCTGTTCTCTCCACTGGGATCTCACTCACAGAGATCTTTTATTTAGTGTTTTTTTTTTTTTTTTTGGCACTGCAGCCAGAGTGTCTTGGCTTTCCATGCCTGAAATACTCTCATGGGCTTTTCAGCCAGATCGGAATGCCTTTAGGGCTGGGAAACATCAATTTTTAAAAAATCTAGAAAGACCAACGTTTAGAATTCAAGAAATTTACTTACAACATTATTGGATAAAAAGATTAGCTATTACGCAAAATGAGCCCATTTTTTCTATTTTATGAAGGAAAGCTTATGAGCATAGTGCCAAGTGTATCCAGTGAAAAACACAGTGGTCTCTAAGAAAACAGTGCAAGCAGTGGCATATGAATATGCCATACATCGTAAGCAACAACTTCTGTTTAAATGCTTCACACAGAAATGAAGAACCAAGCCAGAGTCTGATATAACTAGAGAAAGAACACAATTAAAGGGACCAAAAATCCACTAGGTTAACAAAGGACTGATTGGGTAGGAATCATCCTGAGGGGAGGATCTAAAATTCTTTTTAACTGGGTTTGCTCTTCAAACTAACAAAAATTTTAAGACTGCTGATATTGGCACAAGGAATTAATTGTCCAAGATAATCATGTTTAACGTATTTTTTATCCAAGAACTGTTGAGGAGGAAGATGTATTTCATGGAAGTTCAAAGTGATCACTGCACCTAAGACACTCGCCATGAATTCTAGTCAATGAAATGTATTTGTGCTGCATGTTATATTCTTTAGTTTCAGCATTACATCTCATGGAAATTTTGGTGCATTCTGCTTCATTTCTGAATTTAAACATTTTGACAATTCTCCAAAATATCAAAGATGGTACTTCCTCATTTTATGCTTTTATTTCTATCCACATTTCACTATCTAATATGTTTATTAACCTGTATGGAAGCAATAAGAGAAACACGTGAAATATGTCACTTTCTGTCATTGTCACCTGGATTTTATATTAACCATCCAGATTTACAGGATTTGACGATGCAGGTCTCTAGTAACAGCAAGGAGGCTTCCCCTCTGTGCTCTAAGCTATTTTTTCTCTCATAGCTTTTATAATTATTTTTTCCATAGACAATAACTTTTAAAGTATTCACAGATCATTAAAACTTTAATAGTATAACATTCTTAACCATTGGGTTCACAAAGGTGTAAAACAAAGCTTTAGAAAACTATGTTGCCAGGCCAGTGCTGTGTCCTTGGGCCCCTGCACCCACGTAGGAGGCCCGGAAGAAGCTCCTGGCTCCTAGCTTCGGATCAGCGCAGCTCCAGCCATTGTGGCCATCTGGGGAGTGAATTGGAGGATGGAAGACCTCTCTCTTTGTCTTTACCTCTCTCTGTTAACTCTGTCTTTCAAATAAATAAAGTAAATCTTAATTTAAAAAAAAAAACTGTTTCCAGCAATATTTTTCCCTTTAGGTCCTGGGATATTTGATATTCAGAAAAGAGATACATGCTCACTAAAATATATCCGTCCAAGTTTGCCACACCTCAAAAGAAGAGGGAATGTCATGAATTGTTAGTGAGAGATTCTGAAAAATAAGCTTCCCTCATTTTACAGTCACTAAGCATATAATTTCATAGATGGAAGGCATGAAGTAATTAAGTGTTCTGGCCCCATTATCTACTGATAATGGGAATAAAACTTCAAAAGGTTAAATGATTCAGACAAAGTACACAGGGTGGCTTTTCCTAGCATTTTATGGTACTAACAGAAAACACACATTCTATAACACTGAATCAGATACATTACCAGAGAAAATAACCAAATTAATCACAGAAATGAGCAGTGTGACTTTGTCAAAATACTCCAATGCCTTCATGGTGAGGAGCGTGAAGAGAGGCTTGATCTACCCTTACCTATAAGAGGATGTCTGTAGATTTTTACATACCTATAAAACTGTAAGTACTCCAGAATGTAGCATCCTAATTTAGAGACAAACATTGAACCTCTGGTGATGGTTTATGATACTTATAAAAGTCTAATTCACCAGAAATATTTGTGTAAGCATAAAAGTTACATGAAAGTGTATGTAAGTGTTTGAAAAATCTTTAAAGTAGTCATGTTGGAACACAAAGTTCCATATACTTTAACTGAATCAGATAAAGTTGTACAATAGACAAGGCACAATAAACAGACTCACTATGCTTGTAATATGTTTCACAACACTCAAGGCCAGGTACATGCTAATATTCACTCTCAAACAATGGTTCCTTCCCATGGTATGCTCACTGGATCCCACATATTCATATTTTAATATGTAATCAATACAATTCACACAAGATGATCCAAGTAGTTGGTTTCCTGAACCCGCATAAGGGACTCAGATGAAGTTTCTGGCTCTAGCGCAGTCCTGGCCAAGGTGGCCAATTGTGGAGTGAAACAGTTGATTAGAGCTCACTCTTGCTCCCGCTCTCTCTCTTCCTCTCTCTCTCCCTCCCTCCCTTCTCCCCTACCTCCCTCCTCCCTCTTCCAAAACTCTGCTTTTAATAAATAAGTGAATCTTTAAAAAATAAATAACTGTAATTTATTGTTAAGCCAATCAAAATGGCTAGGGCTTCTTAAAATTTTTTAAAAAATCTTTATACTTATTCCGGTTCAGAAAGTCATAGAGTATTCAGTTAAATTATTCGCCCAGGTTAAAGGTCACTTGGAAGAATTAAATAATAAAAACTATGAAGATTTTTTTAACTGTAATTTAGAGAGCAACATCATTGTGTACACAAGCTTTTTCTAGGTAGAAAATCACAATGGATCGGGTAATTGACACAGGCAAATAGGAGAGTATCAGCAAGGGAACCTCTCTGTATTTTGCAAGTTAAACTTTTTCACCAAGGCCAGAAACTACTTGTGATGAGACTACCTCATTCTTTTTAAAATTGACTTTAATGTATTGGAAAGTCAGAGAGAGGGAGAGAGGGAGAGGGGGAGAGAAAGAGACAAACTCTGCTGGTTCTCTACAACTACCCACAATAAGCATGACTAGGCCAGGCCAAGGCCAGAAGCTGGGAACCTAAAGGTGCATCTCTCACAGGAGCGTGACAGAAACAAGTACTTGAGCCATCACCTGCTTCCCAGGGTATGCATTACTGGAAGACAGAACTGGAGCAGCACTTGGACATAAACCCTGGAACTGTGATATGGAATGTTAGCATCCCAAGTGGTGTCTTAATGACTATGACAAATGTCCATCTTATCCTACCTCTTTCTTAAATCTACACATATTTTGCTGCAGTATTTCATTTTGATGTTTTGTCCCTATGTGAGGGAGAAGAACAAATAATTTCTTTTTTTAAATTTTTTTGACAGGTAGAGTTATAGACAGGGAGAGGGAGAGACAGAGAGAAAAGTCTTCCTTCGATTGGTTCACTCCCCAAATGGCCGCCTCAGCCGGTGTTGCGCTGATCCGAAGCCAGGAGCCAGGTGCTTCCTCCTGGTCTCCCATGCGGGTGGAGGGCCCTAGGACTTGGGCCATCCTCCACTGCCTTCCCGGGCTACAGCAGAGAGCTGGACTGAAAGAGGAGCAGCCGGGACTAGAACCCAGGGCCCATATGGGATTCTGGCGCCACAGGCGGAGGATTAGCCAGGTGAGCCATGGTGCCGGCCTGTGTAATAGGTTTTTAAAAATGTTATTTAACACCCTATCTAGAATTGTTTGCCTCTTTCAAGAAAATGATTAGCTCTATTATACAGCAGCTTCTAAGATTTTGTCTAATAAGCAGTTAACATGTTTTTAATTAAGCATTAAATTATGATTTTTGATTCATATATACACACCTACATATATTATATACATATATATATATGTGGTATGGACAGTCATTTTGATTGGTATATGCTATGCTACACACACAAATATGAAATCAGAAGTTTACATTTTTACATACTTGCTTATTTTTACTTCCATCAAGCCATTCTTGTTCTTCCTTGTTTGTTGTTTTAATGTCATTATCTGTTGAAGAAGAATTGACATTTTTTAACTCAAGTTCTGTGCTTTTATATTGATTAGTATTGCAGTGAGGAAGGAAATGCCTCTTGAGATGTTTTGGTATTGGTTTTAACTTGATTCTGCCTGTAACTACAAAACACTAGACTTTATTATTTGAATCACATGCTTCAATTGTTTAGTTTGGGTAAGCCACAAGTCCAAAATGCTTTCTGGGCCACTGAGGTGAGGCACATATCCAGGGTCTAATCCAATTAGTGATATTTTGTTTAATATTTTTTGGCATTTACACGGGTAACTCTGGTGTCCCTTACAGATCTATGTTTCCATTTAAATATGTTAATTATCAGTGAGAGGAAAGCTATAATCTTAAAAAAATACCAAGTAACTTATTTTATCAATTGAAAGCTTAAGCTTAATCTTTCATTGAATATTTAATTCTTTAAGAAATACCTCTGACTTCCAAATTATCAGCAAACAACTTGAGGAGACAGCAGATATCTTCCTGTGTACTAAATATAATCATGTAACCCACTCAGAAGTTTATGCTAAATACCAGCCCACACAAAATTATCTATACTCTTGTCTCTATTGTTTATATGTGAACTCAAGCTCAAGAATAAAAATGATTTTCTGAATTATATCCTGTTGACTTTAGGTGGCATAAGAGGAGTAATCCTAAGTGAACCCTGGAACAAAATGATGTATGAAATTATGCAGTCACACAGAAGTGCTCCAGGGTTAAATTCTGTGTTCTGATTTCCTCAGCTATTACTTTTATCTGTCCATGAGATTCTATGGATGTTGATGGATTTTTGGTCACAGAGTTCATAAAACAGTTATGTATCATCAATTGTCAAATTTGTATATCTCTGACAACTCATTATTGAGAATCAAAGGATAATCAAACTAGTAGGCAGCTGGGGGCAGAAGCACAGTCTGAAAAACTTAAAAGTTATTTGTTCAACCATAAGAATGAAAATAATACAAATAAGATTAACATATACAAATAAATTAATTAAAATTAGTTTAGTTCCAATATAGAAGCAAAGTACACAGAATCTCAGAATGCTCTAACTGGTATTTATCTGAAATATTTTTATCATTTTTATAAAAGATAAACTATCATATTTAAATACTTTAAGACAAGTCTAGAACAAAATCAGAAAAACTGAAAAATTGTTATAGAATGCTATTATTTAATAAATATAAATTTTAAAATACAACTTTTGGATTATAGTGGTTCTTCCCCCCATAACTTCCCTCCCACTTGCAACCATCCCATTTCCTACTCCCTCTCCCATCCTATTCTTTATTAAGATTTATTTTTAATTATCTTTATATAGAGAAGATCAACTCTATACTGAGTAAAGATTTCAACAGTTTGCACCCACACAGACACACAAAGTATAAAGTACTGTTTGAAGACTAGTTTTACCGTTAATTCTCATAGTACAACACAGTAAGGACAGACGTCCTAAAGGGGAGCAAGTACACAGTGACTGCTGTTCTTGATTTAACAATTGACACTCTTATTTATGATGTCAGTGATCACCTGAGGCTCTTGTCATGAGCCACCAAGGCTATGGAAGCCTCTAGAGTCCACAAACTCTGACATTATTTAGATAAGGCCATAGTCAAAGTGGAAGTTCTTTCCCACCCTCAGAGAAAGGTATCTCCTTCTTCGATGGGTTGTTCTTTCCACTGGGATCTCACTCATGGAGATCCTTCATTTTTTGCCAGTGCCTTGGCTTTCAGTGCCTGAAATACTCTCATGGACTTTTTAGCCAGATCCAAATACCTTAAGGGCTGATTCTGAGGCCAGAGTGCTGTTTAGGGCATCTGCATTCTATGAATCTGCTGTGTATCCTGCTTCCCATGTGAGGGCATCTGCCATTCTATGAATCTGCTGTGTATCCCGCTTCCCATGTTGGAGTGTTCTCTCCTTTTTAATTCTATCAATTATTATTAGCAGACACTGATATTATTTATGTGATCCCTTTGACACTTAATCCTATCTTTATGATCAAATATGAACTTAAACTGATCACTTTAATTAGTAATATGGCATTGGTAGTGTGAACTTAATGGGATTTGGAGTCCCATGGCAAGTTTTTAGCTTTACCCTTTAGGAGTAAGTCTGAGGGATCGTGTGCCAAACTGTACATCTCCTCCCTATCTTATTCCCACTCTTATTTTTAACAGAAGTCAATTTTCAATTGCATTTAAACACCTAAGAATAACTGTGTGTTAAGTAAAGAGTTCAACCAATGGTATTAAGTAGAAAAAGAAAATATTAAAAAGAATAAAATAGTAAGCTGTTCCTCAACAGTCAGTACAAAGTCTGATCAAGTCATTGCTTCTTGTGTCAGTTTCACTTCTACAGGTTTCCTTTTAAGTGCTCAGTTAGTTGTCACAGATCATGGAGAACATATGATATTTGTCCCTTTGGGACTGGCTTATTTCACTCAGCATAACATTTTCCAGATTCCTCCATTTTGCTGCAAATGACCAGATTTCATTTTTTACCACTGTCTATTATTCCATAGAGTACATATTTCATAATTTATTTATCCAGTCTTCTGTTCATGGGCATTTAGGTTGATTCCATGTCTTCGTTATTGTGAATGAGCTACAATTAACTTTGAGGTACAGATAGCTCCTTTATTTGCCAATTTAATTTCTCTTGGGTAAATTCTGAGGAATGGGATGGCTGGGTCGTGTGGTAGGGTTATATTCAGAAGAAATAAAACTTTAAAGGTGATTCCAATACAGGGACTGCATTAACATTTGGGGAAGACTACAAAGGGTTTCAAGTAGTAATTCTAAATTCTGATCCAAGTTGGTATGTTCAGGTGCCAAAAAATCAACTCAAATAATTTTAGGTGTTAATTGCAATTTTCAATCCATTCTCTTCAAAGTGCAGAATCAACTTTTTCAGAGAGATATGCCATAAATACTATTAGTTGTAACAGTTAATGGGTCATGGATATTGGAATGTAGGACTCTGCATGCTGGTACTTAATTTTCCCAGTTTTCATATCTAATAAACTAAGTATGAACAGAGCAGTCCACTAAGTAAAGGATCTCCAGATACTCACAAGGATTTTAATGGTAAAAGGAACCCTAAGATGAGAATGTTTAAGAATTCTAATTTACAATTACTTGGGGGCACTAAATCAGTTCTTAAAGAAAATTTAAAGTATATATTTTTGTTCTATATTGACACATCATTGTGGCATAGAATATGTTGTTTCCATATGTGTATTGTATTATACAATGTATAATGATCTGATTAGATCATTATTAGCATACCAGTCACCTCAAATATTTACTCTTTGGGAAAATTCAAAATCTTATTAACTATTTTGAGATTGCAGTTCCTCTTCTGTGCTTTAAAAACTGAGATTAAGTATGATTAAGTAATGTCTGTGTTCTCTGTAATCACACACACACACACACACATATGAGAGTATGCTAATCAGAACAAAACAAATGAAATGTTAGGAATAATATTCCAATTTAGGCAAAGATCAGAATGCTATGACATTTTAAACCAATAAAATTTCAATATCTTAATTAACTCATGTCAATCCTAATAAAAGATAGGAATTTTAAACTAGGCACTTCAGGGTATCAAAAAATGAAAGGTATTTTTTAGCATCTCAGTTAAAGGTTACAGTCTCTAGATGAGAAATATATTTTTTCAGACATGAATCTGAAAAATGATATCTGCATTATTTGTGTCAAAACCTTTTATCAAATCTGCAGACAAAAATAATTTTTAGAATGAAGATTGAAGGCATTTCAAATACTACATTTCTTTCCAGAGTAACATTTGTACTGCAAAATTACCTTGTCTGCATGTTTGTACTTCATTCATTCCCACTGATGTTGTCCAAAAAGGATGTATTGCTTCCAGACGAGGCTGAAGGAGTTTTGAAACAAGGTAGTTAACAATGCGTATTTCATATAATATGTATTTAATAATTAGAGAAAAATGTAAAATACAATATTACCAGCCATTGAGAATATTCAAGACAAAAATGTAAACGTTATTACCGTCAATTCAGTGGATCCCTTAGCAAACTCTAAAAAGCAAAAGAGATATACAGTCAATTATATGTAAATATGACAAGGCCGACAATATATTGGTGCAGGTTTAGTATTGTGCTAAGTCCACATGTGTGGCTATGGAAATGATTACTGTAGGTTTGGGGGAACTGGTTTATCTTTGGGGTGCTAGGAAAACAACATGCAAGATAGAAGTATATATAAAAAATACAAACCAGAGTTCTTTCAAAAATAAGTTCCTAGTATTATACAGCATAGTTGAGCAACTATATCACAGTAACCTATCTTATAATGAAATAAAAGGAGTACCAAGCTTTAATAACATCATGTGAAAGAAAGGAACATGCCAATACCCTGATCTCATCAAGATATGTTGTATACATAAAATGAAATGTCATACTGAATTCTATAAACATATACAATAATTTTTAATAAAAATAAAGATAAAAAATCAAATAAGATTCAACAATAGACCTATGGGTTTAATAAAACACGCCACTAAGATTTCAAAACGTATGACAATGTCTCAAAAAGTATGACTGTTAATTAAGCAAAAAGGTACCCATATGCCAAAGTGAGCATGCTGAGTACTGGGGACAAATGTGATCTTTAATCAAAGGAACAAATCATGACCATGAGAGTCTAAATGAGAAAGCTGATGGTCGAATGTGACAGCATACCTTTACTGTACACATCAGAATCATTTATTCCATTGTGCTACAATTGCTACAATTGTTTTTCGGTGTCTCCTGTATTTTGGAAGCGTACAGTTGTGATGAAAGATGAATATATAATTCATTTCTTAGCAGAGAAAGTGGTCTGACCTCACCAATTGGTTTATATACTTGGCTTTAGATAATAACACATAGTCCCAGTTTTCTATATTATGGGGACTACTGGTTTGTGTACATTTCTTTCCTCCTCTAGTTTAGCTTTGAAAGATTTTACTTATTTATCTGAAAGATGGAAGATGATAGATGAGAGAGACAGAGAAATATCTTCCATCTACTCTTCAAATGCCCACAAAAGCCATGGCAACATCAAATGGGGGGGTCGGCACTGTGGTATAGCAGGTAAATCAGCTGCCTGCTGTGCCGGCATCCCATATAGGCACCAGTTTGAGCCTGGCTTCTCCCCTTCCAATCCAACTGTCTGCTGTGGCTTGGGAAAGCAGTAGAAGATGGCCCAAGTCCTTGGGCCCCTGCACCCACTTGGGAGACCCAGAAGAAGCTCCTGGTTCCTGACTTCAGATCAGCTCAGCTCTGGCCTTTGTGACCATTTGGGGAGTAAACCAGCAGATGGAAATCTCTCTCTCTCTCTCTCTCTCTCTCTCTCTCTCTGCATCTCCTTCTCTGTGTAACTCTTTCAAATAAATAAATAAATTTTTAAAAAATCAAGTGGAAGCTTTCCAGCTCTCACACAAGTGTTGCAGAATCTCAAGTACTTGGGTCCATCATCCACTGCTTCCCAGGCAGTATTTCAGGAGGATGAACCTGAAGTGTGGCACCCGAATACGGAATACAGGCATCCCAACAGGTGGCTTAACCTACAGTCCCACAGTGCCTAGCCCTAGTTAGGTGTCTTAAAGATTTTTATCCCCTGATTCAAGGAGGTACATAGAACATATCTAAGTAATTGCATATAATATGCTTTTGATACAGAAACCTAGTCATCAAAAAGAATAAATTCATTAAGCTGCCACAGAATTATTAATATCACTTTTATTCTAAATCAATGCGATATTTACTGAAAAATTCTGGTATTGAAGGAATGAAGTCTATGATATCTTGCTTCCAAACACATTTATTCTAGCATAGTATGCTAACTTTAATTTTGTGAAACTACTTTATAAAAAATTTAGGTATAAGATAAGCCAATGATTCAATATTCAAATTTTTCTCATTTAAATAGCATCCATGCAATTTATATCACTAGTGCTTGAGAATTAAATGAAGTTCAAATGAGTGGCTGCAATACCAGCACACCATCCTGTTTTTGGTAATCTCTGGAGCAGCAATAACCTAATGTGTTTAAATGTGAACATACAGAAGGCATCTGAAGTGAATATTCTCAGGTTTCTTCATTAGTAACTCTAAATTTACCAGGTTCACTTTATTCTCTCTTCTTCCCTCTTCAGAATCATCCCTCCTTATCAAAAGTAATCTCTGGATCTGTGCTCTGGATTCTTCACCTTACCATTAATTTTAGGGATTATTCACACCACTTATTTTTCCCATTTATCGCTACAATTTACAGTTCTAACTTCTATTTCAACCTCCCTTCAACTTTCCATCCAACTCTCCTTCCCTTCCCCAGAGCCTCTCTTACTTTCCTCCTTCTTCACTTCCTTCTTCCCTCTCATTCCTGTTTCCAATTTCTCCCTCTCCTCTCCTCCCCCTTCCCTCTCCTCTCTTCCCCTCCCCTCCCCTCTCCTTCCCTCTCCTCCCCCCTTCCCTCTCCTCTCCTTCTCTCCTCTGCCCTGCTCTCCTCTCCTCTCCTCTTCTTTACTTATCTCCACTCACTTCCCTCCCTCCCTCCCTCTCTCCTTCCTTCCTTCTTTCCTTGCTTTCTTGCTTTCCTCCTCCCCTGTCATCCTCTGGATAGGAACATGCTGAGAAATAAAAGCAAAAAATACTCTCCCTCTATCCTTTTAGTTCTTGAATACTTCTCCCAAGGTCCTTCTTTCAAATATCTCTGGAGGCAAACTTGTAACCTTAAAGCTCACCAGGGATTGTGATAAAAATGCAGAATCCCACATTTAAGGAAATAGAATGTGCATTCTGAATAAGGTCCCCAGAGATTCTTAAGTTTAAGAAGTTCTAGTCTTTACAAAGCTTCCTTATATATTCCTTTTCCTTAACTCCCCTTTCTGGAATGTAGCCTTAAGTTCATCCCTGCCACATCCCCCAAATTTAAATGGCATAAGATGTCATGGTTTAATGGGCTTTTTCTCAGGCAGTTAATTTTATTTCACCCTTTTTCCCATTCTAATTTCATTTAAAAAGACTAAAATTACAAAGTAATGAAATGACAAGTCAACCAGAACAATAGAACATTCAGAAATATATGGAGATGGTCAAAGGACATGAATGGACAATTCTCAAAAGAAGAAATACAAATAGTCAATATACACACATACACACACACACACACAAATATATATATATAGTACTCAATATTACTAGCCATTAGGAAAACGCAATGAGAAAATTACCATGAGATATCACCTCAGCCCTCAGAATGGCTGTTAACTCTCCCCCATTCTGAATCCTCATTCCCAGACTTTATTATCATTGTAGGTTATCCTGAAATGGAGCTAACACTTCAGCTCCTCTGGGACACTCACAATTTAATGCATTGCTAACTAGTGGCGCAATACACAGCTTACCACTCTCATTTATCTTTTCCTTACTATGCATTTAATACACAACTTTCTTTAGCTATTGGTATACATCAATATTCATGTCTTAGATAAACATCTGTCAACTGGCTTTAAAAACTGCAGTTCTTACCTTCCAGTGGTTCATTCATATCTTTTCTTTTTGCATCGGCTGCCATTGATTGATTAATGGATTTCTTCCAAGAATTTGTAGAAATAGTCTATTAAAGTTAATGCCAATAATGAGCTGCATACATTTCCCAACAATGTTCTAAAAGAATCTTAATTTTCCACTTTCTAAAGATTTCCACTTTATAAAGGCAAAAATAAGACCAGCATGTTTTATACAAATTCTCAAGATCAGGCCTAACTTTGGGTTTCATGTTACTGATTCTATAAATGCAGCATGGAGGTTCAGAGGAGCAATAACTTACGATACTAAAAACACATATTTTAGCTACAAACTAACTCAAAAAGTCAACTCTGCATTGTATTCCCCAATAAAATAAAGAAGACAAACTAGAAAAACACATTGAAAAATTGTAGTGTTATAATACAGAGTTAAACACATAAACAATTTCTATGTTTTGTCTTAAAATAACATTCTAAACATAAGAAACTTCAAAGTATGTCATACTGAGTATACACAGAACATCTCAGAAGCTGTACATTTATATATACAGTGGTTTAGAAATGCTAAGTTTTCTTTTCATTTACTTATTTGAGAGGTCAAGAAATACAGAGAAAGAAAAATATAACACGGAGAGAAAAAGAGAGAAAGAGACAGACAGGCTAGGGAATATATCAGTTCACTGGTTCTGTCTCCAAATGCCACCATTTGTCAGCCATGGGCCACACCAAAGCTGAGAGCCAAGAACTCAGTCCCAGTCTCTGATGTGGATGGCATGAACACAATTACATTAGCTTAGACCCGTTGCTTACAGGGATGCACATTAGTTGGAAGCTGGATTTGGAATTAAGACATTAACCCAGGTACTAAGATGTAGGCTGCCAGAATCCCAACTGAGCTCTTAAATGCTAGGCAGAATTCCTGTCCTAAATATTATCTAATACAATGTTTAAACATGTGAAGATGGTTTGAATGAAACAGAAGGAGAGTAGGTAAAATTTTCCTTTATGTTATGCTTCATAACAGTATGCAAAAACCTGTATTAGTATGCAACTCATTGAAAGAAAGAAATACTGTGAAGATTGTACTGTAAGCTTTAATAAGAATAAGTGTATTTTTCTGCTTCAGCTTCTAACATGTGTCTGACACTCATTTGCATCATTTATTTTCTACACACAATAACATATCAAAAAAAGATTGAGGGTGATGGTTAGTCCACTACCTGCATCTTGCTAATTTCTGGAAGTGAAGAATAAAATAATAAACAGAGGTGATCCACTAATCTTTCTGTTCATAATGTCCTCCTTCTAGACATTCAAAGCGAATGTACATTCTCATTCTTATGCTGGGCAGCATCAAATCAGTAGCCATATTTTTTCCCTCTGCCTACAGAATTCCACCATACAACCCATTCCAACACAAAGCACAGACACCCTCAATATCTCTATTCAACAGTCTCTCATTACTTTTTATGAAGCATTTAGAGGTAATTTTTAGTGCTTGTTACCTTGATTTTCTGTTCCAACCATAAGAGAAGTAGCCCAAACCTGTAAAGTCAGTGCCTAACTGCCCTACCACATAGTTGGAACTCACCAACAAAATTTATTTAAGGTGTCAATTAAAATATTACCAGAAAGGCCTCTCAAGTATAAAATTACTATATTCCTATAGAAAATTTCCAAAAGAAATCATCCCTGAATTAGAAAAAGTTCCAAGGTAGTTAGTATTCATATATTTGGTCACTGGTAGAGTGGAAACATTCTTTATTTCTTAGAAAAGAGTATTCTTAACAAATTCCTTGTGGTATCTAAACCTTTCTTTTTCACTGCATGGTACTGGATTTATGAAAGAAACCTTGAGTTTGCACAGCTGTAAAGTACTTAGCACATAGTTGAATTACTCATGGGATGGGGAAATGTGAGGAACTAATTCCTTATAGGTATGCACTAAAGAGAGAAAGGGGAAACAGCCTCTTTGCAAGTGGTTGGTCAAATGGTGAAGAAGATAAGTCTAAAGGATTATGTCTGATGTGAGATTGCCTGCGCTTAAGTCTAGGCTCCTGCTCAGAATTCTAGCTTCCTACAAATGTGGGCAGAGTGAGGCAGTTTGTGGTGACTCAAGTACTTAAGTTCTAGCCATCCACATGGGAGACTGAAACTGAGTTTCCAGTTCCCGTATCTCAGCTTCAATGAGGTCATGTTCCTGGAGTTGCAGGCACACATAGGGATTGACCTATAGGACCCAAGAGAGTTCTGCGTGTCTGAACTGCATGTGAGTAGATATCTATCTGTGTATCTCTGTGTCTGCCTTTTGTGTCAATATCTTCAACAAGGTACAAAAAGCCTTAAGGAAAAGATCTAAACTATAATAGGTGTTTAGCTTCTAAACTGTGCCAGACTAGGGAGAGAATTTTGACAGTGGGGTAAGCTGTTCCTGGGGACACTGGCATCCCATAGAGTAGTGCCTAACCTACTATATTCGTACTCCAGATTCTAGATCATGTGCATGCTGCGAGGCAGGTATGGCTTATATACATGAGTCCCTGCCAACCCTGCGGAGGGTCAACCAAATACCAAACTCCTAGATAGAACCTGCCCAGTCCTGAATGTGTCAAGTATTTGTGGAGTAAATCATTGCACTGAAGATCTCTCTGTTGGTTTGCCACTCAAATAAGTGAAAATAAGTAACATTAAAACATGCCAGGCACTTATTTTCACATTTTCTTTATTAAACTGATCACATAACAATGGCTACAATTATGGTTGCCCCACTTTAAAGTTTTGCTAATACCCAACTATAACAACCAAATGATAAAAAATGAGACCCACTACTTTTCTGCCCAGAATATTCTAATCCTAGACTTTCACACACATGATTCCATCTCATCCGTTCGTTGGCAGCATCATAGCTACATTCAGAAAGGTTTTCTCTGACTAAGGAATTCCAAATTCAAAGGTTGAGCATACACACAAACAGCAGATTCTACCCCATGCTCAGTTAAGCATATACACAAACAGCAGATTCTACCCCATGCTGTTAGAGGTAGACATGGGAAAATAGAACAAGAACTAGTATAAACCACTATTTCTGCCACTCAAGTCAATATAGTTGAAGAAAAGGCAGAAAAGAGAATCCTCAATTCAGTCTTGGAAGGTCAGGAAATATTGCTTAATTTCTGGCCGAGAGTCAGATTGGGTACAAAATAAGGACAGAAAGCCATCCGAGGTGTGAGGTAGATAGCTCATCTGACTTCTTCACCACTGGGACAAGAGTTTAGCTCCTAATTCTTTTTTCCTAGGTCCTAAAGGCAAGAGAGTTGGTTGAAGCGAATGTCAAGATAGCCTCAAACCTCTCCTTTACGTAGCTTCAGATAAGTAAGGGGAAGCTTGTATTACATAGGCATTAGGTATCCCACTCTTTCCCAGATAAGAAATATCGTAAAGAGTATATGAACAAACAACAAATCTAGTTGCGAAATGGACACAGCACCTCAACAGACCTGTTTCAAAATAAGAGATATGTCGCTCCCCTTCTTCGTGGAGGAACGACACAGGACCCTGCGCTGGACCCTGCGCTGTTCTTTTGTCTGCTCAGCCCTCCCCGGGTTTGCTGCTGGTTCTTCCCGGGTTGGCTGCCGTCCCTTCCACCTCCGTGGAAGGGCGGTTCCCCCTGGCCACTTTCCCCACTTCCGCAGGGGAGCGGCACACCACCGGCTGGCTCTCTCGGGGGCTGCACAGGTGTTCCTTCAGATAGATGTTCCCCTTAGATGTTCCTGGTGCATGTTGTCTCTCTCTTCCTTTATAGTCCTCTTCCACCAATCCCAACTCTGCTACCCACACGCCGAGTATGCTGCTCTCCTGCAATCAGGAGCAGGATCAGCTCCTGCAGGTCATCACCCAAGCTAGCGAGAGGCAGCTGCGCAGAAGTTGCTACTCTCTTCTCAGCGCCATATTGCGGGAAAGCAGATGCATAGAATAAGTCTTAATTCCAGTAACTTAGTCTAGTCCGAGTTGCTCCCAGTTGCTCCCCACAGATCCCCCTTTCTTTTTATTTTTGGCGTTGATACGCGCCTGTCTTCGGTGCCCCGTGGCACACACTCTGCTCTGCTTGCTTGAGTTGCCCACAGGTGCTTACAAGCCCTACCAATCAGGCAAACCGAGTCCGGGTCCGCTCTTCGCCATGTTGTGAGGAGGTTTTTAGGCGCTGATGCGTGCCTGTGTTCGGTGCCCTGCAGCACATGCTCTGCTCTGCTAGAACTGCCTGCAGGTGCTTACAAGCCCTAGCAATCAGGCAAACAGAATCCAAGCCCTCTCATTGCCGTCTTGTGGGGAGACTTATTGGTGTTGATAACGTGCCTGTCTTCAGTGACCTGTGGTGCATAATCTGCTAGCCGCCCGCAGGTGCTCACCACCTCCCTAATCAGGCAGACCGAATCCAAGCTCTCTCATTGCCGTGCGTGTTGTGGGGAGGCCTTATTTTTCTCTATTTCTCTATCTCCGGGCATTCCTATTTCTCCTATTTTACTTCTATCTACCAGGATTCCTATTTCTCTCATTTTACATCTAAACTTCTGTTTCTCTTATCCCTGCGGCATCCCGGCGCCTGCCCCGAGGCTGCTTCTCGGTGGCTTCCCGGCTCTGAGCCGCTTCAGCCCGCGCTTCTCTCATCTGCGCGGCTTCCCGGCTTTGTGCGCGCACTCCGCAGTCTCCGCGCCCGTTCACGTCCGCACCACGGCCTCGCGCTAGCCCCGGGTTCCCTATTTACTTGTGCCCCGCGCACGCTCTCTGCGTGTGGCGGCTTCCACGAGTCACACAGCACAGCTCACGTTTCCGCCACCGGTATTCAGTCCAAGTTCCCCGGGCTAACCTGGCGAATTCAACCCAGCTCACGTCTGCGCCCTTCGGCTTGGCTTCCCGTCCTTTGCTCCCTGGGCTAATCTGACGGATTCCAACCTGCCAGCCCACGTCTCTGCCTCTGGTTCCAGATTTTCGCCTTTTGCTCCCTGGGCTGACTTGAAGAATCCCAAGATAGCTTATGTCTCCGCTTCAGCCTGCACTCGCGGCTTCATCCTCCCTATCATATTTTTCTCTTCCCGGTATGTTTCCCTAACTTTTCTTCCAACAACAATATTCCCCTCTCATTTCTCCTGGCCTCTCTCCACAGTCCGTATCCGAGTCTGTTTGTTCTAGCTTTCACTTTCGCTTTCGACCTTAGAGATTTCTCCCAGCTTCCCCCCGTAGTCCGTATCTGAGTCTATGCCTAGGCTTTTGATAGCTTCTTCCGGCACCTTTTCCGTCCAGCTTTTCCCTAGGCTCTTTGCTAGTCTCTCTCTCCGGTATTTTCCCACTTCTTCCCGTTTCTTCCCTCCTAGGTTTCCTATCCGAGTCACGGCACCATTATGTCGCTCCCCCTCTTCGTGGAAGAATGACACAGGACCCTGCGCTGTTCTTTTGTCTGCTCAGCCCTCCCCGGGTTTGCTGCTGGTTCTTCCCGGGTTGGCTGCCATCCCTTTCACCTCCGTGGAAGGGCGGTTCCCCCTGGCCACTTTCCCCACTTCCGCAGGGGAGTGGCACACCACCGGCCGGCTCTCTCGGGGGCTGCACAGGTGTTCCTTCAGATAGATGTTCCCCTTAGATGTTCCTGGTGCATGTTGTCTCTCTCTTCCTTTATAGTCCTCTTCCACCAATCCCAACTCTGCTACCCACACGCCGAGTATGCTGCTCTCCTGCAATCAGGAGCAGGATCAGCTCCTGCAGGTCATCACCCAAGCTAGCAAGAGGCAGCTGCGCAGAAGTTGCTACTCTCTTCTCAGCGCCATATTGCGGGAAAGCAGATGCATAGAATAAGTCTTATTTCCAGTAACTTAGTCTAGTCCGAGTTGCTCCCAGTTGCTCCCCACAGAGATAGAAATGGCAATAAATATAAAAGTATGTTCAACATCACCAACCACCAGGGAAATGCATATCAATGCCTTCAAGAGATATCACACCACCCCTTCTCAAGATAGCTAAAATGTTTATCTGCCTGTCTTATGAAAGTAGCTGTCTCTCAAGTCAATTTATACCTTCAAGCAAACACCAATTTTGTTTTAACATGACTGAAATCAGGTATTTCCAAATCACAAGAAGACACAGTACCTTCGAATTCTTTTGTGATTTGCTGTCTTCAGGATCTCTTTGGGAGGTAGACTCCTTATCTACAAATGCAGTAACAGATCAACTAGTGAGAACATTTCTTCACATGGAAACATTTTACATAAAGGTGTGTCTCTCTCCACTCATGAATATTGCAATGAAATGAATATTTCAATGAAATATAACGAATAGTAAGGATGAATTTCAGAGGGTTGAAGCTGTTTCAGGAAGAAGTTGGTTATATAAAAAAAAGCCAAAGAAAACCCTCAAAGTAAATGGCTATCCAATTCAGAGCTACTCACTTCTGTTCATTGTATTTTAATATTAAGTTTCAAAGGATAGGCAACCACTACCCATGTTACCATTGTCCAATCCACGATCATAGTTGAACGCATATTTATTCACTGGCTGGTGTGGAGCAACTTGAGTGATGGCAATATCTTTTAAGCCCTTCTTACTCGCTACGGTTGACATTCCTTCCTGCAGGAAGATAAAATACAAATTCAACAAATACACCCAAGTTCTCAACCCCTCAGCCACTCATTCAGTGAGACAGGATTTACTATGTGTGTCATGTCACAGGCACAGTCCTTGCAAAGGTTGAGCATACACACAAACAATAGATTCTACCCCATGCTCAGTTAAGCATATAAACACAGAGCAGATTCTACCCCATGTTCAGTTAGAGGTAGACATGGGAAAAGAGAACAGGAAAGTTTAAACCACTATTTCTGCCACTCAAGTCAATATACTTGAAGAAAAGGCAGAAAACAGAATCCTCAATTCAGTCTTGGAAGGTCAGGAAATATTGCTTAATTTCTGGCTGAGAGTCAGACTGGGTACAAAATAAGGACAGAAAGCCATCCGAGGTGTGAGGCAGATAGCTCATCTGATTTCTTCACCACTGGGACAAGGGTTTAGCTCCTAATTCTTTTTTCCTAGGTCCTAAAGGCAAGAGAGTTGGCTGAAGCGAATGTCAAGATAGCCTCAAACCTCTCCTTTATGTAGCTTCAGATAAGTAAGGGGAAGCTTGTATTACATAGGTACTAGGTATCCCACTCTTTCCCAGATAAGAAATATTGTTAAGAATATATGAACAAACAACAAATCTAGTTCCGAAATGGACACAGCACCTCAACAGACCTGTCTAAAAAGAAGCCTCTCAGCTTAAAAAACACATATATCCTAAAGGAAGTCACTGTGTGCTTAGTGATCTCTTTGCTTTAACTTGTATGCATACTTTAGAATTTCTTGTTTTTTTATTGTTTTGTGTACATTGCTACCACAGATGCTCATTACACCTACGTGGGCATTAAATACTGGCATATTTTATGAATGTGGTATATGGCATGCAAAAAGGCTCTATCATCTTTGCAACGTACTGTAGCTAAAAGTGACATTGCAACATACTAATATGTGCTATAACTTAAATATGGTCCGTGATACCACTATACTGCTTAAACCTTAGAGCTCTGAACATGGCTACCTCACTCTCTTTTTGTCACAGTAAGAAAAAAACATTTTAACTTATGTTAGTATTTACATATTTACCAAAATGATAGTCCAGATTCATCCAATTCTAATTATCTCTATTTATGAGAACACCACCAAAGTGGTTGTCCTCCCACAGATTTACTACTTCGCATTTACTACTTGCTTTAAATGTTACTACTTGCGTATCTCAGCTGCTATTCCAAAGATGTTAAGAATGCACTGAAACACAGGTATTAGGTTTTCAACTTGCAAGTTGTGGAGATAACACATCAATTTTGGTATCTAAAAATCTCATCAGCATGACAAGACATCTATAGATATATTGGAATCAGATGTCTGGTGTTACATTCTTTTTTAGTTGTTGTTGTTGATAAATATAATTTGCAGAGCAAATTTACTTCTTTATATTACCATGGTCCTATTTATGTGTTTTGAATTATGCTACAATTGTCACACTAAATAAGTCATGTAGAACTGTAGAAGACTACTAAAGTAGCAGGGCAATAGTTATAACATAATGCATTACTAATTGTTTGATGAAAACAAGGGAATCAGAGAGTGTATGCACACAGATGAAAAAGAAGAGCCACCCCCAGTACTCAGTAGGCCCCTGCCCCAGTGGCTCAGATGCTGAGCAGGACAGCAGCATGCAATATGAAAAATTCCAGGGTTCCATTACCGACCCCTGTGCAGGAACCCAGCTTACTGCAAACATGCAATCAGGGAGGGAGTCAATGATGTCTCAAGCTCTTGGGTCCCAGACACCCATGAGGGACACCTGGGTTGAGTTTCTAACTCCTGACATCTTCATTTGGCCTGGCTCTGTTCATGGCGTCACAAACATTTGGCAGGTGATCTCTCGGTGTCTGCCTCACTTGTGTCTTTACTATCTCTCTTGATAAAGTGGTGGCAGAAAAAACAAGCACTCTTTTCTATATTTTCTATATTTTACCATCGATTAATATAACACTCACAAGAAAACAAGGGACAGTACCTCAGACTTTAAGGAGTATTTTAAAGGCTCATCATCTGGTCTGAAGCCAGGCATATCTATAAAACATAGGCAGAGATGTACTAATGAGAACATTTGTCAACTGTTGCTTTTTTTAAAAGATATTTTAATTTATTTGAAAGTCAGAGTTATACCGAGAGAGACAGAGAGAGAGAGGTCTTCCATCCACTGGTTCACTCCCTGTTGGCTGCAACAGCAAGAGCTATGCCAATCTGCAACCAGGAGCCAGCAGCTTCTTATGGGTCTCCAATGTGGGCATGTGGGCATGTGGGCGCAGGGGCCCAAGGTCTTGCATCATCTTCTACTTTCCCAGGCCATAGCAGATATCTGGATGGGAAGTAGAGCAGCTGGCACTTGAACCAGTGCCCATATGAGATGCCAGCACTGCAGGCGGGGGCTTTACCCACTACACCATATCGCCAGCCCCAACTGTTGCTTTTAAAAATTTACACATTCAGCTGAGTTCATCAATAATATACTAAAATTTAAGTAACAGCAATAAAGAATTTCAGCTAGAGGGCCAAAGCTGTGGCATAGCAGGTAAAGCCACGGCGATTCAGCAATGGCATACCATATGGCTACGGGTGCAAGTTCCAGTGGCCCCACTTCTGATCCAGCTCTCTGCTAATGTACCTGCGTAAGCAATACAAGATAGCCTGAGTCTTTGGCCCCTTGCACGTACATGGGAGACCCAGAAGACGCTTCTGGATCCTGGCTTTGGCCTGACCCAGTCCTGCCCATTGTGGCCATTTGGGGAGTGAACGAGCAGATGCAAGATCTCTCTCTCTCTCTCTCTCTCTGTCTCTCTTGCACACACTCTCTCTCTTTCTTTCTCTCTCTCTCTCTCACACACACACTCTGCCTCTATGCCTCTGACTCCACCTCTCCCTCTCTGTAACTCTTTCTGATAAAAACATAAATTAAAAAAAAAAAGAATTTCTGCTTGTTCAATCAGCACTTTAAACCAGGTTGAGTTGGACATAGAAACAAATAGCGAAAGAAAAATCATCAAAATAATGGAAATCATTTCAGTTGAGACATTAGTACTTAAACAGTGTTTCATTGATAGATACTGACCAATAGTTTTGCCTTCTGGCACTCCAGCAATACCAGATAATGTGTCCTTTGCATGCTCTTGGGCACTTAGACTGACAGCCACATCCTTTTCAGTATCTCCACTTGATGCCATTGACGCTTTTCTCTACAGAAAGAAATAATACCACAAATTCAGCAAACATTCATTCACGTGCTCAGCCAAACAGGAAGACGTTTGCTGTGCTTGGGAAGCAATAGGCGCCCTCAAACAATGAGCTAAATATAAGGAAAGAAGACAGATTCTATCCTGTAGACTAGGGGCAAATTGACCTATGTCGAACAAGAACAGAAAACCAGAATTCCACATTTTCAACTATCGCAGTCAGTAAATTACAATGAGGGTAGGATGACAGAATCTTCAGCATGACTTTGAAAACTGAGGAAAGGCTGTAGGGTTAGGAACACATTTAGTACGGCAGATAAAATGCAGGGGCAAAGCATGATGGGCCTTCTAAACAGAGCAGTGTGAACAAAAGTAGGAGGCAAAACATGGCAAATGAGGGTTAATGAAGTAAGGAAGTAAAATGGCCAACATATTATTGAAACTGAGAGAGACAGGTGCAGTAGGTATCCAAGACCAAACCATGAATGCCTATGGCATGCTGGAATCGGAGCTCTGCAGCAATGGGCTCCATCTTTCTCATTCACCATTTTGTCAATGTAGAAGAATATTTATAGTTATGCTAATACTAACATATCTATCATAAACATGTTGAATTCATTAAATTTTCCAAGATAGCCTATGTTTATTAAAGACACCATTTAAACAGGCTTTATTTTCCCAAAAGAAAAATGAATTATTATTCATGTTTCCCCTCGTGCTGAAATGCCATTACTTTCTGATTAATAATGGCATTTCGATTCATTATGCTTTTATTTGGAATTCTAAGCACATAGAAATGGCAATCCAAATATTTCTCTCAAAATCTCATTCAGATTCAGGTGGCATTAGATATCACAAAATAATATGATTCACATTGGTGGAGCTAAAATAAACTTTTAATTTTTAAGATATAGCTAGTTTCCAAACCAAAACTGATTCCTTATCTCTCTCAGGCCTACTTTATTATTGTCTACATTTAACTACACCAACAGAGTCACACACATGTGTAGATCTTCTCTAACGTGGCAGTGCACTGTTTACAATGCATTACTAACTTTATGATGGAAATAAATCATAAAGGGCAGACATGAGAAAGGAAACTCAAATCTTCCTCTTTGTAGTCACTTGCCACAGTGGCTCGGATGCTAAGTGGGACAACAGCATACAATATTTCAGGGTTCCTTTACTGATTCCTGCTTCTCTCCCTCGCATCTTACTGAGGCATATGCAAGGAAGAAATAGGTAGTGACTCAAGCTGTTGTGTCCCTGGCACCCATGGGAGGCCTGGGTTTAGTTTCTGACTCCTTTCACCTGGAATAGGCCTGGCAGGCATCTGGCCGGTATACTGTCTGTGTGTGTCTGCACACGCATCTTTCTTATCTTTCTCTCTGCCTTTGAAATAATTTTTAAAAGGCAAAAAAGGAGCAACTACACCTTTACACATCTTAGCATCAATTAATGCTCACATTTCAAAGTCACAAGAAAATAAAAGGCAATAGCGCAGATTTGGAAGTGGATTCCAGACGTTCATCTTCTGATCTGGAGGTAGCCACTGGATTTACAAAACATAATCACAGCCCCTTGAATGAGAACATGTATTTCTATGAAGTTTATAGGTAAATCCACAATCTACCACCATTCAGGAATATTGCAATAAAATGAGAGTAGTGGCAATAAAGTGCAGAATGTAGAAACTATTGTAATAGGGAGATACTTAGCATATACATAAAGCTAAAGAAAATGCAAAAGGAAATGAATGTCATAATGGGACCTACATTCCCAGTTTAAACAGCAGCAATAACACCGTTATTCATTAAAATATACTGACCTCTTTGGCTATCCTTGCCCAACTACATGACAGGAAATAATCCAGAATATCTCCTTCTGGGACACCTCCAGTGGCAGCACGAACTTCACCCTTTCCACTTGATGTTTCTTCCTATGCCAAAAATAAATAAATTAATTAATTAATAAATACTAAAACAAAACAAGCAATCCAGAAACTCAGCAAACAATCAGTGGCTCCATCACTAAGATACAATTTAATCTGCTTGTCAATTCCTAGGCACATTTCCTCCAGAAAGATAAATATATAAACAGAGGTATTTTCTACCCTATGCTAAGTGGGAGCAGATACATAGGAAAACAAAGAATAGGAGCGTATAATTCACCACTTCTACCACTGAGGTAAAAAAAAAAGCTACAGTAAAGGCTGACTTGAAACAAGACCCACAGCTTTCAGCATATACAAAAACTCAATTCAAAATGGATCAAGGAACTAAACTTAATACCTGAAGGTATCAAGGTACTACAGGAAAACCTAAGAGAAATGCTGTGAGGCATTGGCCTAGGCAAATACTTTTTGGATAAGACTCTCAAAGCACTGGTGCTAAAAACACAAACAGGCAGACAGGACTGAATCAAGCTAAGAGTCTGCCTATCAAAGGACGCTGTGCATCTAATTTATCTTCTATTCTATTAATTCATTTTCAAAAGGTATATAGAGCTCAGGAAACTTAACAACAACAAAGCAAATGATCTCAGGAAGAAACAGGTACAGGAAATAACAGGTATTTTTCAAAGGACGAAATACAAATGGTCAACAGACACATGAAAACATGCTCAGGGAAAAGCAAATAAACAACATAATGAGGTATCACTTCTCTCCAGTAAGAACATCTGTTAGCCAAAATCAAAGAATAACAAAAGCTGCTGAAGTGGTGTAGCCAAATTCAGTAGTGGTAGGAACACAAATCGGTATAGCCGTTAAGGAAAACAACACAGAGATTCTGTAGAAAACGAAAAATGGATCTACCATGTGACCCAGTTCTCCAACACTTGGGAATGCATCCAAAGAAAGCGAAACGGCATATGAGACTGGTACCTGCATTCTCATGTTAAGAGTAGCACAAGTCACAGTAGTAAAGGGATGAAGTCAGCCTTTGAGCTCCATCAACTAATGATTGGACAATGTTACATGATGAACTATCACTCAGCCATAAACTATGAATTACTGATATTTGGAGCAAAACATGGAACTGGAGATCATTATTCTAAGTGAAGTGAGCCACCCAGAAACACAAATACCACGTTTTCATTTATTTGTAAAAGTAAATTTATAGAGAGCACAAAGTTGTGTGGCTATCATATGATCTGATATATACTTAGAAATATTGTGACACTGAGTTATTGTATTACACAACAATATATTCCTCTTTCCTCACAAAATGATCAATGAATACCTCATTAGGTAAAATTATTATCCATTTTCAAGAAAAGAGTGCATACATGTATACCTGTAATATATACATAAGATGTGACTGTGGCAAAATGTAAAAAAAAAAAAAAACTGTTGAATCTTAAAGCTAAAAAAATGTATAAAAACATTCAAAAGGCTGAAGAAACACACACCACATTTACGTCTTAATATCACTGAAACCTTGTATGGACAAGTACCTCAGAATCCCACGGTGATTCTACAGCTTCATCACTTACTCCGGAGACAGGCACTGCAACTACAAAATGTAGTAAGCGATCGACTAAGAAGACTATTTATGAAATGTACAGACACACGCAATTCATCTCTCTCTCCACTCATAAGTAACTGGAGAAGCCAAAGGTAATACTGAGAAGGTGCTTTAGAGGATTGAGCAGTTTTAGGGAAAATGTCAGAAATATTAAAGCAAAACAAAACAAAACTCCCAAAACAAAGGTAAAATAAAATGGATGTAGGATTTCATTTAACACAACGTTGATGTTTCATTTAGCAGTAACGTTGAAAAAGAAGAACATATATACACTCAAGGACCGCTTCTACTACCCCAGGGGATCAGTCTCTACTAACTTGCATGCCTAGAAATTGGTTAAGTGGGGCAATACCTTCTTCCCTCTTTAGAGGTTCTGCAGAGGATTCCTCCTATAGAAAAAAAGGAACCACAAATTTAGCACACATACACATTCAATTACTCAACTACTCACTAAGACAAACATTTATTGTGTCTATCAAATCATAGGCACCGCCTAACAAAGACAGGCATGTAAACAGAGGCGCATTCTACTCTAGGCTTCCATTGGGGTATATATACATATAGAGGAAAACAATGAAAAGGAAATTAAGATTCACTGATTCTACTACTGACATGATAAATGAAGAAGTTACAGAAGAAGCTGGAATTACAGAAGCTTCAGTTTAGCCGTGACAGTTTACAAAACAGTACAAGGCCACAGCCGTATATTTAAAGTACACAAAGTACAGGGGGATTGTGTGTAGGGTCTTCTGAGAGCGGCTGCAGGAACAGAATGATGAGATAGAAAACAACACGACAAATAAGGGTAAGAAAGTAAGAAGGTAACATTACAATACATTGCTTGGGACTGGGATAGAGTTACTGTAGAGAATCAGGGTCAAGCTGCAACTGGCAATCTGAACACTTTGCTGTACAAGACGCCATAGAATCATGGCTCAATACTCTCGTCATGAATATAATTTAGAAAGGCCAATCTGGCAGGATGTTCAGATGCATGCAATGCATTCTCTGAAGCATTTCTCAGATTTGAGAGCCTCTGGAGATTTAGGAGTCACATCTAGAAGAAGAATTATGGTACAGGAGCAGAAAAAAAACACTCTAGGAAATGATGGCTTGTCAAAAGGATAAATGAATACAATAAGCTAAAATTGCATAAGCAAATTTTTGTAATCATGGACTAAATCCTGGTATTTTGGAAGTGAAAAAAAGGGGCAAACTATCATGAGGTCCTCATGGAAAATGACAATTATCAATCATTTTATCAAGGATCTAAACTAACTCTTTTTCTATGTAGTTCTGTCACGTTGCTGTAACATGCAGTCAAATTTCAGAAAAGACTATGTCAATGAAACCTATTGGAGATACTGAAATAGGAGATATGGCAAAACATACATCTAAACATTTTCAAGGTTAGAAGTGCCAAGGAGATGCCAGAGTAATGAAGAATCCTTTTCTGTACCACGATGATTTCACATAGATATCCAAAACCATTCAGCATTAAGTTTAATCTGGTTTCCTAGTTTTTTAGTTCATTACATTTTTGAGCCTTCAAAACTAAAAGTATATAATAAGAAAAGGGGGGAGGGGTTATAGATCCAGAGACATAGACCTAGACCTAGCCATAGAAATAGTCATAGACATAGACATATAGACATAGACATCAACAAAAGTATAAACATAGACGACAGAATCAGAGGGAGAGCGAAAGTGAGAGATTAGACAGAATCCTATAGAGGGTTTCATTATTCATATTTCTGCAAAATCCAGTCTAGGGTTTTGTAAAATCAGGAGCTGGGGACTCATTCAATTTCTCCCAATGGGTAGCAAAGACTGAATTATTAATCCATGGAAGCCTGTCAGGGTGCCTCCTGGTTGAAAGTTAGAATTAGGCACAGGAAAAGGACAGAAGCCATCCTAGGTGTGAAGTAGATAGCTCATCTGACTTCTTCACCACTGGGACAAGAGTTTAGCTCCTAATTCTTTTTTCCTAGGTCCTAAAGGCAAGAGAGTTGGCTGAAGCGAATGTCAAGATAGCCTCAAAACCTCTCCTTCGCGTAGCTTCAGATAAGTAAGGGGAAGCTTGTATTACATAGGTATCCCACTCTTTCCCAGATAAGAAATATTGTCAAGTATATTTGAAGAAGCAACTGTGTGTACTGATGGTCCTCTCCCACTTAATGTTGTATGATTATTCAGAATTTCTCTACAGACAAACCCCACCACCTGCAAAAGTTGAGTGGCCTTTTTCCTGGTCTTGGCTGGGATCAGATTTAAACCATGTCCATTAAACAATCCACACAAGGGTCCAGAGACGCCCCTCATTTCCTCTCCTTTATGAAATCCTCTCATTACCTGGTTAATGCCACTCTTAGTATCACTGGTTGCTATTCTCACCCTGACTTGTATACTACAGTGTCTGTTTAAATGTTTACAGCAGGTTATAATGGAATGAACCAAGGCCTTCAGCAACCAGTCAACCAGATGCTTCTCCAACCATACATGCCTGTCCCTGCGGAGCCCCAAGAAACCCCAAACGGGCACCTGTAGATGACGTCTGCAGTCAGCAGGAAGTAGCAAGAGAGACTCATCATCGCCCTCTTTCCTATCATCAAAAGGTCGGGATGATAGCTTTGGGATGCGCATGGAGGAAGGCCTACACTTCAGGGAATGGAGACGCCACTTCCAGGGAAGAAAGTCCTTGTCAAGGTCCCTGAGAGTGGCTAAAGCTCAACAAATGAGGATCAGACCCGCCTCAAACTTTTAGTTCCATGCCTTGAATCTATAAAAGGAGCTCTCCCAAGCCGATGGGCGACTTCCCCTGGCCCCCGCTCAGTTGCTCTATTGAAACCAGGGAACCTCGCCCAGAAGCAGAACCCCAATAAAAGCCTGTGAATTAATCGATTCATCTGCCTGGGAAGATCTGTTACGCGCTGGACACCTTACAGATGGTGCCGAAACCCGGGAGCTGAGATTGCAGAAATGGGCACAGCACTTCAACAGACTTTCTCAAAGTAAGAGATAGAAATGGCAATAAATGTAAAAGTATGTTCTACATCACCATCCATCAGGGAAATGCATATCAATGCCTCAAAGAGATATCACACCACCCCTTCTCAAGATAGCTAAAATGTTTATCTGCCTGTCTTATGAAAGTAGCTGTCTCTCAAGTCAATTTATACCTTCAAGCAAACACCAATTTTGTTTTAACATGACTGAAATCAGGTATTTCCAAATCACAAGAAGACACAGTACCTTCGAATTCTTTTGTGATTTGCTATCTTCAGGATCTCTTTGGGAGGTAGACTCCTTATCTACAAATGCAGTAACAGATCAACTAGTGAGAACATTTCTTCACATGGAAACATTTTACATAAAGGCGTGTCTCTCTCCACTCATGAATATTGCAATGAAATGAAGATTTCAATGAAATAAAACGAATAGTAAGGATGAATTTCAGAGGGTTGAAGCTGTTTCAGGAAGAAGTTGGTTATATTAAAAAAAGCCAAATAAAACCCTCAAAATAAATGGATATCCAATTCAGAGCTACTCATTTCTGTTCGTTGAATTTTAATATTAAGTTTTGATAGATATGCACTCACTACATTTGTTATCTTTGTCCAATCCGTGATCAGAGTTCATAATTGGCTGTTGTGGAGCAACTTGAGTGATGAAAAAACGTTTTTTACTCTTCTTGCCCGCTAGAGTTGACGTTCCTTCCTACAGAACAATAAAACACAAATTCAACAAATATATCCAATTTCTCAACCCCTCAGCTACTCATTCAGTGAGACAGGATTTACTATGTGTATCAAGTCATAGGCCCAGTCCTTGGAAAATCAAAGCATATAAACAAACAGCAGATTCTACCCCATGTTCAGTTAGAGGTAGACATGGGAAAAGAGAACAGGAAAGTTTAAACCACTATTTCTGCCACTCAAGTCAATATACTTGAAGAAAAGGCAGAAAACAGAATCCTCAATTCAGTCTTGGAAGGTCAGGAAATATTGCTTAATTTCTGGCTGAGAGTCAGACTGGGTACAAAATAAGGACAGAAAGCCATCCGAGGTGTGAGGCAGATAGCTCATCTGATTTCTTCACCACTGGGACAAGGGTTTAGCTCCTAATTCTTTTTTCCTAGGTCCTAAGGCAAGAGAGTTGGCTGAAGCAAATGTCAAGATAGCCTCAAAACCTCTCCTTTACGTAGCTTCAGATAAGTAAGGGGAAGCTTGTATTACATAGGTACTAGGTATCCCACTGTTTCCCAGGTAAGAAATATCGTCAAGAATATATGAAGAAACAACAAATCTAGTTCCGAAATGGACACAGCACCTCAACAGACCTGTCTCAAAATAAGAGATAGAAATGGCAATAAATATAAAAGTATGTTCAACATCACCAACCACCAGGGAAATGCATATCAATGCCTCAAAGAGATATCACACCACCCCTTCTCAAGATAGCTAAAATGTTTATCTGTCTGTCTTATGAAAGTAGCTGTCTCTCAAGTCAATTTATACCTTCAAGCAAACACCAATTTTGTTTTAACATGACTGAAATCAGGTATTTCCAAATCACAAGAAGACACAGTACCTTCGAATTCTTTTGTGATTTGCTGTCTTCAGGATCTCTTTGGGAGGTAGACTCCTTATCTACAAATGCAGTAACAGAAAAGCTAATGAGAACATTTCTTCACATAGAAACATTTTACATAAAGGCGTGTCTCTCTCCACTCATGAATATTGCAATGAAATGAAGATTTCAATGAAATAAAATGAATAGTAAGGATGAATTTCAGAGGGTTGAAGCTGTTTCAGGAAGAAGTTGGTTATATTAAAAAAAAGCCAAAGAAAACCCTCAAAATAAATGGATATCCAATTCAGAGCTACTCATTTCTGTTCGTTGAATTTTAATATTAAGTTTTGATGGATATGCACTCACTACATTTGTTATCTTTGTCCAATCCGTGATCAGAGTTCATAATTGGCTGTTGTGGAGCAACTTGAGTGATGAAAAAACGTTTTTTACTCTTCTTGCCCGCTAGAGTTGACGTTCCTTCCTACAGAACAATAAAACACAAATTCAACACATATATCCAATTTCTCAACCCCTCAGCTACTCATTCAGTGAGACAGGATTTACTATGTGTATCAAGTCATAGGCCCAGTCCTTGGAAAATCAAAGCATATAAACAAACAGCAGATTCTACCCCATGTTCACTTAGAGGTAGACATGGGAAAAGAGAACAGGAACGCATAAACCACTATTTCTGCCACTGAAGTCAATATACTTGAAGAAAAGGCAGAAAACAGAATCCTCAATTCAGTCTTGGAAGGTCAGGAAATATTGCTTAATTTCTGGCTGAGAGTCAGACTGGGTACAAAATAAGGACAGAAAGCCATCCGAGGTGTGAGGCAGATAGCTCATCTGACTTCTTCACCACTGGGACAAGGGTTTAGCTGCTAATTCTTTTTTCCTAGGTCCTAAGGCAAGAGAGTTGGCTGAAGCAAATGTCAAGATAGCCTCAAAACCTCTCCTTTACGTAGCTTCAGATAAGTAAGGGGAAGCTTGTATTACATAGGTACTAGGTATCCCACTCTTTCCCAGATAAGAAATATCGTCAAGAGTATATGAACAAACAACAAATCTAGTTCCGAAATGGACACAGCACCTCAACAGACCTGTCTCAAAATAAGAGATAGAAATGGCAATAAATATAAAAGTATGTTCAATATCACCAACCACCAGGGAAATGCATATCAATGCCTCAAAGAGATATCACACCACCCCTTCTCAAGATAGCTAAAATGTTTATCTGCCTGTCTTATGAAAGTAGCTGTCTCTCAAGTCAATTTATACCTTCAAGCAAACACCAATTTTGTTTTAACATGACTGAAATCAGGTATTTCCAAATCACAAGAAGACACAGTACCTTTGAATTCTTTTGTGATTTGCTGTCTTCAGGATCTCTTTGGGAGGTAGACTCCTTATCTACAAATGCAGTAACAGAAAAGCTAATGAGAACATTTCTTCACATAGAAACATTTTACATAAAGGCGTGTCTCTCTCCACTCATGAATATTGCAATGAAATGAAGATTTCAATGAAATAAAATGAATAGTAAGGATGAATTTCAGAGGGTTGAAGCTGTTTCAGGAAGAAGTTGGTTATATTAAAAAAAAAGCCAAAGAAAACCCTCAAAATGAATGGCTGTCCAATTCAGAGCTACTCATTTCTGCTCATTGTATTTTAATATTAAGTTTTGATAGATATGCACTCACTATGTTTGTTATCTTTGTCCAATCCGTGATCAGAGTCCATCCCATATTTATTAATTGGCTGTTGTGGAGCAACTTGAGTGATGAAAAAACGTTTTTTACTCTTCTTGCCCGCTAGAGTTGACGTTCCTTCCTACAGAACAATAAAACACAAATTCAACAAATATATCCAATTTCTCAACCCCTCAGCTACTCATTCAGTGAGACAGGATTTACTATGTGTATCAAGTCATAGTGCCCAGTCCTTAAAAAATTCAAGCATATAAACAAACAGCAGATTCTACCCCATGTTCAGTTAGAGGTAGACATGGGAAAATAGAACAGGAACGTATAAATCACTGTATCCATCGTTGAAGTATATATAGTTGAAGAATAGGTGGAAAAGTGTATCCTCAATTTAATCTTGGTAGTTCAGCAAATATTGCTTATTTGGGGCTACATTTTCAAACGCAGATCAAATGAAATCAAAAGTCAGTCATGACGCCATTGTATACAGCACAGATGAGGCAAAAGATGGTATTGGAATATACAAGGCAAATTAGCAGCCCCAGATATGGAGCTACAATGAGAACGTACTTAGTAGAATGGGGTTTAGTGATGTATGGCAGATTTAAGACCTAAGGACCAAACCAATGGTCATGCTGGAATGTGAATTCTCCCCTACTGTAATGGAAATCTACTCAATAAGCAGTTGAATTACATGATTACAAATATGTTTAAGGGACCACTCTGGCAGGAAATACAAAATGTACAAAAACGTCTTCAGTTAGGCAATACCAGATTTGATGCACACAGAGAACTTAGAAACCACATTTTGTCAAAGGAAAAAAAAAACTAACATTGAACACAAAACAAAAACTAGAGGGTGGGACGTTATGGGGGATAGAGAAAATCTGAAATACGGGTAAGAAACCAGAGTTACATTGAAGGAATGACTTCCTACTGCACTCACCTCCACCGCTGGGAAGAACCAGCACAGCAAAGGAAACACCAGTGTCTAAGAGACTGACTGAAGGAAACCTTTGGTAAGGAAGTAAGGACAACTCTAAATGGCAATAGGCTCAGAGAGCCACTACAGAGAGAGGCAAGAACAAAGTTGTGAGGGAATTATGTTTTACAATAACCTAATACACACTGCATGAGCAAACAGAAGAACCCTCAAACCTGCAATCATAAAGTAACATGAAGGAACGAAAAATCTTAGTCATCCTGTTTTGCTCAATACACATAATATACATGTATTGAAATACCACACTGTGGCCCTTAAATGTGTCATATTTAGTCACTCAAGAATTTTGAAAAGAAATGGGAGTAGACAAAATCACTCAAAGCATATAATAAGAAAATACATATAAATAAATATTTGTAAAACATTAAAATAATATAAGTAAATAATGTACATATAAACTGAATTCTGAAATTTGGAAAACCAAAATAAAAAGGCAGAACCTATGAGATTTAATTTTTCAATTACATATTTCTACATATGTTTGCAGCATACAAAATTTCATATTTCTACATTTGTTTCAAGAATTTAAAATAACATTTTAATTTATAAATTGAAATATAACATACATTTCTTACTATAGTAAGAATATGTGCTTCTGGAGTTCTATGGTAACAGGCATTTTTCAAATATGTTAAAAATAATATAGTTCTGTGAAAAAATATAAGAGGCTACAGTAGGAGTATTTTTCAAAAGCCTTGATTGCTTTAAATGTCACAAAACAAAGTCCTGAGAGTCAGTACTCTGATTAAGCAGGTTGAGCTGCCAGACTATTCTTTTTGTATTTTAAAAATTATCTCAGTTTCTCACAAAAAATAAGGAGACAGAAGGAAACAGGGAAGAAGAGAAAAAGAAATAGAGTGGCGTAGAGAAGTAGGCCTACAGAGGTGCCATTTGCTAATTCACTCTCCAAAAGCCTGTAAGGGCCAGGGCTCAGCCACACCAATGCCAGGACCGGAGTACTCCAACCATTTTTTTTTTCTCAGAACTTTTACTTATGGGCAAACAGGTTGAGTCAAATGGCAACGTAGTCAGGAAATCTTTCCTTTGTGTAATGCTCAAACAACAGTAAGCAAATACATGTGTGAGGTACATATGCAACTCTTTTCCAACTAGGCAATATCTTCAAAGTTATAAAATTCTCTACAAAGAGATAAATAGGGAGTCATGTTTTAGCTCCTAAAATGTGACATTCATTTCACATTATGTTTTCCACAAGTGACAATATAAATATCACCATGATTATGGCTGTCTCATGGTGTGAGATTTGCTCATTCCTACTGCTTAGTATGATGAGGTCTGAGAGAGAGAAGAGAGGGAAAAAAAGCTGCATACAGAGGCCCTGCACTCACCTCCACCTCTGGGAAGAACCAGCACAGCAAAGGAAACACCCAGTGTCTAAGAGACTGACTGAAGGAAACCTTTGGTAAGGAAGTAAGGACAACTCTAAATGGCAATAGGCTCAGAGAGCCACTACAGAGAGAGGCAAGAAGAAAGTATACTGTAGCTCCTACGCTGGTGTTATGGCCAGGGGGACTCTATCTCGCTGAGGAAAGTAAGCAGAAGCCTCTAAGATTCCCACCATTATGGCAGAGCAGTGGCCCTAACTACAGAATTCCACCATCCTCGGTTTTCATTTACCTAGAAAGCTGACTGTGTCTGAGGGCCTTCTTGGCCCTAAGAAAGACTCCATTTTGCCTCTTTCCAAATCCCCAGACCCAAGTGGTCGCAGCAACACTGCGGCTATCCTCTATTCTGTCTTGGGGACAGCAAGTACCCCTGATGCTACCAGCAGTCCCCAGATTCCACCTGCCACCTGCCCCTGCCCACAGTCAGAGCCAGGCCGCTTTACAGGGCAGACAGCAGGTCCCTGCCTGTAGGGCTGAATTGCTGGGCACAAGCTTCAGGGCTCTGTCTTCTGCCTCTGTTTTTAAAAAGACAGAAGAAACAAGCACTCCATTCTAGATTTGAACATCACTTAGTGCTTATATTTAAAATATCGTAACAAGAGACAGTACCTCAGGGTCCAAAGTTGATTCTTTAGCTTCATCTTCTGATCCTAAAGTAAACACCATTTCTGTAAGAGGTAGTCATAGATCTGATAATAAACATTATTATGAATTCTAAATATACATACACAGATGGGATCAGGCGCATTCAGGGTGTATGGCCATAGATTATCTTCCAGAGTGGCTATACTATTTTGCATATGGAAGAGCAATGAATGAGAATCCCTATTGCTCTATTTCCTTATCTGCAATCACTGTTGTCACTGTTTTGAAATCCCTAGCAGTTCATGATGTCAGAATCACTTCTTCAGTTCACTTGCCATCTGTGTATCTTCCATGGGAAGGTGTTTGCTCCGCTATTTTTCCTATTTTTAAGTCTGTTTGGTATTTTTTAAATTTAGCTTTAAGAGTTCTCAAATTGTTTGGATAATAGTTGTGTTTTTGTTGAAATATATCTTATACAAATATTTTTCCAGGTAATTTATTATACCCTTGGCAGTATATTGGAAGAACTAAAATTTTGTTTCTTATCACTATTCACTTTTCATGAACATCAATATACTTGCAGAAACTGAGAATAACTGGTCTTTACAACTTGTTCACCCTGAAGATGCTTATGCAAATCTCATCCGTGGCTGTCGTACATTTTGTTACCTCAAGGGAATGAACACTGTCACTTACGGTAAGCTAGAAAGGTATATAACTTATTTTACACTGCCTGCTTTCAGTTTATAGACCAAGCTGTGTCATGCCAAAATGCAATCTTAATTCTTCAGCACAGAAATCACTTTAAAAGGCCTGTTGCTTCCAGCACCCTAAAATAACACCAAGAATCCCTAGAACCATCTGAAATAAAGTTCAATTTATCAATTTTTAAAATATGCTAATTTATATTTTAATTTAACTCTGGATTTTCTAGTCATTAAATTGATCTGTTCTACTATCTCTATGCCATGCCATCACGTGGTTATCCCCATAGATTTACTCTATGATTCAGTCCTGAGAAAAGCAAATTGTCTTGTTGTGCTTTTCTTCCTCAAAATGTTCCAGTAAATGTACATACATTAAAGCCTCATTAGAGCAAAAATACACACACACACACACACATCTCTATGAGTAATTCGACAATATGTAAAAGTAACAACAAGAAAGAATTCCAAAGGGTTGACGAAGTTTCAGGAAGAAGAATTTGTTCCTATGAAGAAAGATATTAAAAAAAAACAATAAAATACATTGGGTAGCATATTTATGGCTTCACATTAAACTTCATACAATAACATTTAAATAGAAGGTTTTCATACACTGGATGGAACTGGAAATCACTATCCTAGAGAAATAAGCCAGTCACACAAAACCAAATCTCACATGTTTTATATATGGAAGCTATAGAAAGTACAAAAAGTGCATGGATACCGTATTATTTGGTCTATAATCATATTGTCTTTAATGGATTTCATCAATACATCCTTCTTTCCTCACTCTGTTAGCATTGTGATGAATCCCACATTTTTCTTATATTTTGAGAAAAATGTATATAAGTGCACATACATAATATATCAAATGTTAAAAAATGTTCAATTTTAAAATTTACAAAAGAAATTTTGATCCACTTACCACATTTGTTATCTTCATGGACTCCATGAACACGAGTTATTCTGTCGTTATTGGGTTGCTCTTCTGGTGCACTGTGAATGATGGCAGTTGTACGTCCTGGAATTATTAAGTCTTTCTATAGGAAAAAAAAAAAACACAACCTCAGCAAACATGTTCACTCAGTTGTCCCACCACCCATTCACTCACTAAGACATTTATTGTGTAAATCAAAGCATAGGCACTGTCCTAGGAAAAGAAGAATATGTCCACGGAAGGCACTTACTGCAGTACGTTAAAGTGGGAGTAGACATAGAGTCAACAAAAACTCAGAGCAAGAAAATTAATTCCATAATAGAGCATTTTACCTTGGCAAATGAATTGAGGCCTTCCTCATATGATATAAGCAGTTCATGATTAACATCAGGTATTTCCAAAAGCCTTGTGCACAAAAATGTATAAGAAAAATAGTTAAATATTTTCTATAAAAAATCAGGGGAAACATCAACTAAACTTCTGCTAAATGGTATTTTTTGGTACAATGAAAATTTGACTCTTGTTTTAGAAAAACTTTTCATCATCTATTTCTGCCTACACTACTCTCACCCCACTGAAATATTTGGTGAAGATAATACATCCCATAAAAAATCTGTGAACATCAATATACTAGCAGAAACTTTATAACTTGTTCACCCTGAAGATGCTTATGCAAATTTCATCCGTGGCTGCCATACATTTCATTACCTCAAGGCAATGAACACTGTCACCTATGGTAAGCGAGAAAGGTATATAACTTATCTTACACTGCCTGCTTTCAGTTTATAGACCAAGCTGTGTCATGCCAAAATGCAATCTTAATTCTTCAGCATAGAAATCACTTTAAAAGGCCTGTTGTTTCCATCACCTTAAAATAATACCAAGAATCCCTAGAACCATCTGAAATATTTGAAAGCTAAAGATATATACATCACAGAACAAATGTGTAGGTTGTTGTCCCTTCTCAGAAATATTAAGATGTTCAGTGATTTTCCCAAATAAGTGTTGCTGTTTCCTCATTCAGGTAAACGTAAACCAGTAAGACTATAGGTGCTTATGTACTTAGAAGGGAGACGCTGCTGAGAAGAGTCATGGTACCCGTACTTTTGTTTCTGTTAATGGTATCTAAATATCTTGCCTCCTATGAGCTCCTAACCCCAAATAACTCTTCTGGTGTCAAGCACAGTGATGTGGTTTGGATAAGAGTTCAGATATCAACAAAAAGCCCATGTATTTGTGGCTAGATTGCAAAGTCTTATTTAATGGATAAATGGTAATGGTCAATGGATGAAGAGTAGAAACAATGCAACTATGGTGTCTAGGTGTTGGGCCTAAAGGAGGTCTTTAGGTCACCGGGGGCTTGTATTGTGAATGAAGTTCTCATGAGAGCAGTGAGCTATACAACTGTTCTCTCTGCTGCTGGGTGCACCGTGTTATTCTCCCTTTGTATTCATTCCACCAACCAACATCCTCATCATGCTGCCACCTGTTCTTGGACTGTGAATCTCAAAACTTTATGCCAAAATAAATCCTTTTCCTCTGTATGTTAGCCAACAGATATTTTTCTCTAAGTAACAAAAAGCTGACAAACACATACAACCTCAAACATTAACATATTAAGCCTACAAAGCACAGAACCCTGAGAAAAGAGTGGACTCAAACATACAATTGTAGCCACTACTTCCCTCTTCTAAAAAACAAGCTACATTGAGGCTCAGTCATCTTGCCACAGCAAGACACATGTAGCTCTGTAGGGTTTACCAGCCAATCCTATCCCCCTCTTACCAAATACATACCAGGGAGAGACGTCAGAAAATGGAAAGAAGAGGTGGGCATGAGAGGACATCTGCCCTGGACCAAGTTCTTTGCAGATCATCAACCTCCAGGCCCCTAGTGCTCAAGGGAGACTAGATTACCCCTCTGAGTGTGGGGGGCCATGAAGTAGATGATATAGCATTACAGTCTTATCTGATATGGACTCTTCCCAGTGACTCTAAAAATCCACCTGTGGTGCAAGCATCCCGTGTGGGCACTGGTTCATGTTGCAGCTACTCTTTCCAACTGTCTGCTTATGGCCTGGGAAAGCAATGGAAAATAGCCCAAGTCCTTGGGTCCCTGCACTCATGTGAGAGCCAGGAAGAAGCTCCTCGTTCCTGGCTTTGGATTAGCTCTGCTCCAGCCATTGCAGCTATTTGGGGATGAACCATGGATGGAAGATATATATATATGTATATATATATATATACACACACATATATATACATATATATATACACACACACATATATATACACATATATATGTGTACACATATATATATACACACACATACACACACACACACACACACACACACACATATATATATATGGCAGGATTTCTTTATTGATTCATCAGTTGGTGAGCATCTAGTTTGATTCCATATCTTAGCCATTGTAAATTCAGAATTTATCTGAATTGGACCTGTATCTTGATGCCACTATTGTATAAGTCTGTATCCATCCATGCTAAAGGGTAAGAGAATACATTTGGGAGTAAGGCAGGCTGATATGGGTCAGTTAATTCTTTTACTACAGGGTCATAGGCCAATCAATCAACCCCTCAGCACTATAGTTGCCTAAATAGTAGGAAATAAACTACATTAACACATACATTGCAAAACTGGTTGGACAATTATAACAAGCAACAAATGTTAAGTACACAATATCCATCCAGCCCAGAGGAGAATACATAATGCATTTCTTTGCTTTCCATTAGTTAACAAATGCTTTTAAAAATCATTAAACCCTACCTTTTTCTATATTCTTTAGAATGCTCATCATCTATTAAAGAAAAGTAAATACATTTTAAATTAAATTAATGATAGAATAATATAGAATGTTATAATATATAGTACATTGTTAAAAATTACAGCTTTGGAGCCAGGTGTTTGACACAGAAGTTATGATGCTTCTTTGATGCTCACATCATACTGGAGTGCCTGGGTTTGGGTCTCAGCTTTGCTTTCAAACTGAGCTCCCAGCGTACACTGAGAGGCAGGAGGTTATAGCTTAAGTAATTGGGTCTTTGTGACCCATCTGAGTCCTGCTTTTGTCTGGCCCAGCCCCATATATTGCAGGAATTTAGGGAGAAATTATCAGAGAGGGAAATAACACTCTCTGCTGGCTATCTATAGCTCTGCATCTCTACATTTCACATAAACTGAAAATAAAAATTAAAAAGAAAAGATGCTTTTGATCACACTTACAAATTATAGCAGAGTAATTATTAAGTACATCATTGAAAGCCATTATGGAACCTTACTTCTGCTACTTTGAATTTATCAATGTAAAGTGAATAATACAATTAATTAAGATGATATGGAAAACATATGCTCTATACAAAGACTGTAATCCAACGGAGACACAATTGTATCACTAATAGAATAAGTATAAAAGACTGTAGGGTCCCAGTGCTATGTCACAGCAGATAAAGTCACAGCCTACAGTGCTGGCCTCCCTCATGGTTTCCAGTCCAAGTCTTGGCTGCTCCACTTCCAATCTAGCTTCCTGTTAATGGGTCTAGGAAATCAGCAATAGATGTCCCAAGTTCTTGGCCATGTAACCATGTGTGAGTAGCTGAGTTTGATTACCAACTCCATGTTCTGACTTCAGTTTGCTGCCTGTGCAAACTCAGAGAGGCAGTGAGGCTCAAGTAATCAAGCTCCTCCCAAGCACGTGGAAGACCTAGATGGAGTTCCTGACTCCTGTCTATGGCTTCCATCCAAACGAGGCCATTGTGAGCATTTGGAGGACAAATCGGTAGATGGCAGCTTTGTTCTGTAAGTCTCCATGCCTCTCAGACACAGACATACACACACACACACATACATAGATAGAATATATAGATAGAATATATAGAACTTGGGACATCTATTGCTGATTTCCTAGACCCATTAACAGGAAGCTAGATTGGAAGTGGAGCAGCCAAGACTTGGACTGGAAACCATGAGGGAGGCCAGCACTGTAGGCAGTGACTTTATCTGCTGTGACATAGCACTGGGACCCTACAGTCTTTTATACTTATTCTATTAGTGATACAATTGTGTCTCCGTTGGATTACAGTCTTTGTATAGAGCATATGTTTTCCATATCATCTTTTTCTAAGTTACACAAATGCCACAAAGAGATAAAGGGCCACAATTAGTGATTTTCTTCAAATAATAGCACTTCAGATTATAAATATCCTACAATAAACCTCTAAAATTTCTAAATACTAGATTACTAAGAAAGATTAAGAAAAACACACATATGATTAATCATTGACTTATCTGTAACTGCTCTTCTGTGATCAACTACTTCTTATGTTTATATTTTTTCCTATGTTGGGACTAGCTGGAGAAGTTTTACCTGGATTTGTATTTACAGTCTTCTCAAGTACAGCATTTTCTCGAAACAACGAAATGAGCTGGTAATTTTGCCTATGTATAAGAATGAATAAAATTGTTTCAGTATTGATAAGGACAATTATCAAATGTATCAAATCCTTAGAATATTTCTGATAGTTCAAAGTTAGTACCAGAACTGACATTATGCCACCGCACTTCATAATTATATGTTCTACAATATAATTTTCTTAAACTCATTGTTAAGATGAAAAACAGTTAAGTTGAAGAAGTCCTGAATTAAAGGTGGTATAACTCAATAAATTAACTAAAATTAGCATGACATAATAAGGTATCATAAACTCAGAAGACTCAGCTCTGTAGCCAACAGGTATGGACAAGTCACTTGTTTTAACCTCAAACTCTTCTAAAGAGTAAGGATTTTCCTTGCCCTGACTGTTGATGAACAACTTAATACGTTATCCCTATTAGTATTTTTGTTTGTTTGTTCTACTTAATACCTTTGGTTGAATACTGTAATCAACACACAGTTATTCTCAAGTGTTGAAACTTAACTGAAAAGTGATCGCTGTTAAATATAAGAGTGGGAATAAGAGAGGGAAGAGATGTGCAATTTGGGACATGCTCAAGCTGACTTACCTCAAATGGTAGAGTTAGAAACATACCAGGGGATTCCAATTCAATCCCATCAAGGTGGCATGGACCAATGCCATCTCACTAGTCCCGGTGATCAATTTCAGTTCACAATTGATCATAATGATAGGAATAAGAGCCAAAGGGAGCACATAAACAAGACTAGAGTGTCTGAAAATACTAGCTGATAGAATAAAAAAGGGAGAGAACGATCCAACATGGGAAGCGAGATACACAGCAGACCCATAGAATGGCAAATGTCCTAAACAGCACTCTGGCCTCAAAATCAGCCCTTAAGGCACGTGGCTCTGGCTGAAAAGCCCATGAGAGTATTACAGGCATGGGAAACCAAAACACTCTGGCAAAAAAACAAAAAACAACAACAACAACAACAACAAAAAACAAAAACCCAAACACAGCAACAACAACAACAAACCTAAATGAAAGATCTCCGCAAGTGAGATCCCAGTGAAAAGAACAGGTCATCAAAGAAGGAGGTACCTTTCTCGGAAGGGAGGAGAGAACTTCCACTTTGACTATGACCTTGTCTAAATATGATCAGAGTTGGTGAACTCAAAAGGCTTCCATAGCCTTGGCAACTCATGACAAGAGCCTAGGATGATTACTGATACCATAAACAAGAGTGTCAATTTGTTAAGTCAACAACAGGAGTCACTGTGCATTTACCCCTCATGTAGGATCTCTGTACTTAATGTGCTGTACATTGTGATTAATGCTATAACTAGTACTCAAACAGTATTTTTCACTTTGTGTTTCTATGTGGGTGCAAACTGTTGAAATCTTTACCTAATATATGCTAAACTGATCTTCTGTATATAAAGAGAATTGAAAATGAATCTTGATGTGAATGGAAGGGGGGAGGGAGAGGGTAAGGGGAGGGTTGCAGGTGGCAAGGAAGTTATGGGGGGGTGAGCCATTGTAATCCATAAGCAGTACTTTCGAAATTTATATTCATTAAATAAAAGTTAAAAAAAGAGTAAGGATTTTCCTATGTCTTCACTAGTAGTTATAGAGATTTAATGCGTTATAAAATATATAAATGCTCAATGAAATGAAGCAATGGAATACTTTGTTCTTGAAATTTACTACTGAAACTATTTTGGAATCCCGAAGGAAAACTGTAGTGTGTTTTTTCACTGTTCAGGCTACAAGAAATGTCATTAGTTTCTCATTCTGGCTATTAGTTACTCCATACAGCTGTAACCATAGATACCTCATCTACTTAACATATTGCAGTTACATGCATTTGTAAATATATCACTTCACTAAGTCAGGGAACACAATTGATGTGATCATTCACACTAAGGGTACTAAACTAAGAGCTGTCAAGTACTGGCAGACTATTACTATCCCTGTTAAGGATTCTGAACCAGTTGATATTTCCTAGTGTGATGCTTAACGTCCCTGTTCAACTCCACCTAACTTGGAAGATCAAACTCCACTTTATTACATGGTTTCTGAGAAGTTATGCATGGGGCTTAGCTCACTTAAATCCATATAACATACTTTAGATTCAGAGAATTCTCAAGAATGGCTTGTTGTGAGGCAGAATTTAAAACTACTTTGAAAATCTGATATAAAATGCACATAATTTAGAAGATTTTCATTTTCACTAATACAGCAAACAAATCACCTTAGGTCCAACACATACTCTGGAGCACAGTAACATACATGGGACATTCCACAAACCAAGAACTTATGTGCCCAGAATATAAAGAAGCCTTAGGGTACATATCTGGTGCAAAACATTAAATAAACTCTCATCTTTTCCTACATTATCTGAATTTGTCTGACAACAGAATGGTACCAAGTAGAAACTACTAGCAAAGTCAAGAACCTTATAAAGAACACGTCATGAAGGTTTAAGGCTAAGAAGAAGATGCCACCTGAGGTTCTCATAAATAGCCTATTTTTAGCTACATACATGCCAAAACCTAGAAAGCCAGAGTGGGGTGTTAATACTTTGTGGACAGTGACTGAGTATATAGGCATATGTCAGTCAACAAATAGACATTTTAATCTCAGGATATAAGTGCACATCACCACGAAGACTGGGGATCTGGATCAGTAAAAGAATCCTGGTAACAAAGGTCTATCATTACTAGACTGCAGGGGAAGCTTCCCTAGCAACATGGAAGCAATAAAAAATAAGAATTATTAGAACCCCATCTCTCTGATGAAGGGAAATTGCCTTGAGAACCTCATCTCTCTGATGAAGGAAGATTGCCTTGTCAGGCTTATGGAACTTCTTGGCTTCTTGTAAAACTCAAGAAAAAGAATTTAAGAGGCAGCTCCCAGAACAAAATATGAAATTTCCTGCTAATCTGGACACTGAAGGCCTAACCAACTAAGTAGAACTAGGAAGGTGTGACACTGTTTGGAGGGTCATGGCAGGGGTTGTATTATGAAATGATATGGATAATGTGGGCAGCCGCAGGGATAAAGACCTTCAAATCTCTGAGATAAAGAATTTGTACCCCTCTGTACTTCTAACTAGCCAACCTTTCTCTTTGGTTTCTTTTTGTTTTAAAGATTTATTTATTTACTTGAAAGTCAGAGTTACACAGAGACAGGAGAAGCACTAGGAGGAGGAGGATGGGGGGAGGGGGAGAGGGAGGAGGAGGAAGAGGGGGAGGAGGAGGAGAGAAGGCTTCATCTGATGGTTCACTCCCCAGTTGCCTCAATGGCCAGAGCTGCACCGATTTGAAGCCAGGATCCATGAGCTTCCTCTGGGATTCTCATGCGGGTGCAGGGGCCCAAGGACTTGGGCCATCTTCTACTGCTTTCCCAGGCCATAGCAGAGAGCTGGATTGGAAGTGGAGCAGCCAGGAATCAAACCGGCGCCCATATGGGGTGCCAACACTTCAGGTGGCAGCTTTACCCTCTACATCACAGCACCTGCCCCTCTGTTTAGTTTCTGACTGTTGAAGTAAAGGGACTCACTGCCATTCCAAAAACTGTGAGAGCTAAGTCATCTGAAAACATGAAGTACGTACACCTCAACTTCATGTTGATTACAATGTTAGTATAAACACTTACATACTACGTTTTTGAAGAGCATAATCCCTAGCAGAATGTCCAGCAATGTCTTCAGAAAGCACATCAACCCCTAGTTCAAGAAGCATGTGTACTATGTCTTCCGTATTATACCATCCTGCAAACATGAGGGATGTTCTAAAATAACAGAAAGAGAACTTCATTAAAAACTTCAATGAGGCTACTCAAACAGTTGAGTGGCTCTATTTTACCAAGTTAATATCTTGCCTATGTTTATGTGATCATTTACTTGTATTAATGGACATAAGCATCTTGGAATATCAAATGCTCATCTCCAGAAATTATCTCCAGGCTTAAAGAGAAAGAAACAAAATAAAGCCTCTTGTCTAACTGGGGTATTCCATGGAAGTTACTAATTTGAAGTCTTTAAGGGATAGTAACACCATTGAGATCACTTGTTTAAACCAGGCAGTTTTAAGTGAAGAATTCACTCTTACTTCCCCAGTTTTAAATATTAAATATATCCCTGTCAGGTAAGTAAAAGCTATCTGAAAGCATAAAGCTCTTATATTATATGGCAATAATAGTCACAGCAGTTTCAGTTAGCAATGGTGACAACCACCTGTCAGCTACTGAATTACATTTTATATATGACATTATATACAACTACATCTGAAAGATAGGATACATTACTATCCCACTTTCACTTCAGGCTAGATTTAATAGTTAATGTTCCCAAGGTTGCACACCAAACAGGTTGGACATCTGAGAATTAAACCTTGTGCTATATGTCTTTTCTCTTTCTCATTTATTATTTGTCGTCATCAAAGGAAAAGCTTATCTAAGTACATACATGTCTTCCTTCTTCCCATACTAATTACAAATAAAATTATAAGGATCAGGCATTTAATCTTGGTATTACGACACCAATTAAGAAGTCCCCTTCTCATATCAGACTACCTGGTTTGATTGCCAGATCCAGCTTCTATGTGTAGCCTCCTACTAATACAGACCCCGGAAGACAAGACATTAGTTATATTCAGCTTAGATAATTAGATTCTTGCAACTACATGAAAGTCTTTATTGCATTCTTAGCTCCAAGCTTCAATCTGGCCCAGCCTGAACTGTTGCAGGCATTTGAGCAATGAAACTGAAGGGAGAGAGTTCTAATTCTCTCTCTCTCTCTCTCTCTCTCTCCCTCCCTCCCTCTCTGTTTCTCTAATCTCTCTCTCTCATAGAATTTTTTAAAAACCATGCTTTTAAAAATATCAAATATCAAAATAAAGCAGAATGAAAAAACTGATAAAATCATACTATCTGCTAATAACCACCTACAGTCGCTTAGGTGTAACTTAACATCAATATACTTTGAAGAAAGAAATTAACCAAAAAAAAGTCAGCAAAAAGACAAAATGATTTTCGATTCCTATTTATGTATACTACAGCATTTTTAAAAGTAGAGTATGTGGGCACCGGATTCTGTCCTGGTTGCCCCTCTTCCAGGCCAGCTCTCTGCTGTGGCCAGGGAAGGCAGTGGAGGATGGCCCAAGTGCTTGGGGCCTGCATCCCATGGGAGACCAGGAAAGGCACCTGGCTCCTGCCTTTGGATCAGTGCGGTGCACTGGTGGCCATTGGAGGGTGAACCAACGGCAAAGGAAGACCTTTCTCTCTGTCTCTCTCTCTCACTGTCCACTCTGCCTGTCAAAAAAAAAAAAAAAGAGTAGAGTACGTAGGAAAAAATTTCTTTAAGATTTTTTATTTATTTATTTGACAGAGTTGGACAGTAAGAAAGAGACAGAGAGAAAGGTCTTCCCTCCGTCGGTGGAAAAATTTTAAAAATATTACAGAATGTTTAAGAAGCTCAATAGTGACTTATATTTATTAAAACAGTAAAACTAAAATGAATAACCTTTCATTAATATCAGACTATACAACCAAAAATCAGATTACTATTAAAATATATCAGTCACTATCATAAGAGAATATGACCATTCCTATGTAGCTCGTTGTGTTGGACAGTATGCATAATTGCTTTCCTACCAGATAGATTTTTATTGTTACTTTTCATTGTATCTCAATAATATACTAACATTTTATTTCATATTTCTGACTTGAATGACTTTATAATTGATAAACATCACTGAGTTTAAAATATAGAATGCAATAATTTACCTGTGTAGATTATCAATTGCGAAAACGTCTGCATTCTGTAATATTAAAAATTTAACCATACTTTCTTGGTTTTGTTGAATAGCCACTAAAAGTGGTGTGAGGCCAGTCTGTAAAATGATTCACAATTCACATTATTACATACTTCTCAACAGAATTGAACATATTTCAGATGACAATGCAAACTCGGACATCAAATGTGGAAGGTAAATTAAAGGAGGCTCTTTCTTCCCACCCTGTGCTTCCACATGTGCTGCACATTCCTCTTAAAACTCTCCTCTCCACTGCCTCATTGCATGGAACCTACTCATCACCAAGACTCACTCCAAACAATTGCATTCCAGGGTTCATTGCTTCCATCAAAACACTCACCATGGAATATAACAATTATTTGATTGCATGCAATAAAAACATAAGGTCCTCTGGAAGGCAAGGGCTACATGTTTTACCTCTGTAGCCCTAAACCCTAAGACATAGTAGTTAATATTTCAAGCATTCTTATTCAACTGATGACCTCAATTATTGTCCCAAGAACAGTGTTTCTCAATACATATTTCCAAGAACATTTACTATTGCACAAATTATATACTGTCCACCAACAGAAAAATGTCATGATCATCTGTTTGAGAAATATAACAAAGCCATGCATCCTGTGTTCCCCTAGGTGGGGAGAGAAGCAAACTGGAGGGTATCTGCCTTTTAAAAACAGGAAACCTTCTGTACAGCATACAACTCAGTAATCTGAGCTTAAGGATCCCTGATTGGAATCCTTCAGATAATCCTGACAGTCAGAGGTGTGCATCAGTCTCCCAAATTTTATATTTTGAAACAATTTACAGAGGCAAACTATACACATCTCTGCACCATGTTCAGTCGATTCCTTTGAGTCTTTGTATCAGCTGGCAATGCATTTCCAAATGATTTTGTATAAAGCAGGTATTAACATGTAATATCTTCACTTTTCTTAGCATCACCTAATTCACAAAAAGAAAGATCAGGCCCAACATGTAGTAAACAGGGCACACCCAATATACCATTTTCCAACAGTTAAATAACCATCCATTTGTATTTAAATCTGACAGGTTTTGGTCAAATGGATATTTGAGATACAGGAATGTTGAAACTGAACTATTAAAAGAATGTCCATCCATATTCTTAACACTACCATGACTTTCAATTTTAAGTCTGCCATAGTGATTATGTGTCAGCGCTCCATGAATTCAACACAACAAGATTTGATTGTGTATCCTAAAGCTTCAACGAGGAAAAAGGTTCATAATTTGCTCTAATTCTAACCATAAAGCCCTACTTGCAATATACATTTCTTTGTAAAACTATCCATAAGCGTTATTCTGTAGGCTGAGAATTATTAGTATTATCTCTCTTTGAATTTGTAACTACAAAGGAAGAGAAAGACAGATAAAATCAGAGGTTAGTATTGTTGGAATGTAGCATCCATCAAACTCTAACTCTTCTCAAGATTCTTAATAGTTTTTGAGACCTAAGAACTTACACATTACAATTAACAGTTTGGTGGTTCTTAACAAGGGTTTTATCAGACTCTCAGAGATAGGTTTTTAAGTATACATGTAAAGACATAGTAAGATTTACTGAAATAAAATACTCTTGGGAGAGACTAGACTTGTGTTTCCAGGTCATTCTGATATACAACTCCAGCCGAGAACTGCTGCAGCAGAAAACCACCACTTCCATCTCTCCTCTCACACACATCATTTGGAAACTTGACCAAAACGAGGAATGAGTAAGAGACACACACACTGAACACCCCATTTCATTTTTCTTGAGTAGGAATAAATCAACTAACAGAAATTCAAAGTCCAACTTTGATTTATTTGTAGGATCCTTTTCTTCTACTTTCCCACAAAGACATTCTCTATTTGAGAGCTGAGTTTAGACACTTTTCCTCAGCAGCTCTTCCTACCAGAATAAAATGTCAATCATTTGTTCTTCCCTCTTGTTTTCTATATTCATCACCACCTAGTCACTCCAAATATGGTTCCCCAAAGCAAATTTACAACTTATTAATGATATTAACGAAAGTACAAGTTATTATACTTTCAATCAAAGAATGCTTGGTCTACACAAAACTCAACAAAAACAAATCAAAAATCCCATCTCCATATTTTCCCTCAATTACCTAATTTACAAATGTTTCATTCTTCTATCCTTTTCCCTTGCAAAGTTTCCCAGTTAACCCTTGACACTCTAAGTTAACTTTGAGATAAATAAACTTATTTAGGAAATTGACAGCAACAGCCATATTTCTGTTTACTACAACATGCTTTTTTCTTGAGTTTTAAGCAAAAGCTTTTGTCAAGACAAAATTGGACTTCTCCTGTTTTTGCACCACTTAGAAAAAAGTAACTGGGAAAATATCCTTGAAAATATGTCTGACCTTTAACAAATTCAGTGCTTTCATAAATACTGGCCATAAATGCCTCTCAGTCTGTCCTTTCCAGTATTTCTGCAATGGTATCAATATTTAAACTTAAATCTTGGACAGTTTTCATAAAATATCTTCATTCGATGCAGCTTGTACTCCCAAATATGAGAAACTGCTTCTATACATGTCAATGTTTTAAAAATGTATTTCCAATAGTCTAAACATTAAGTTAGATGATCCATACCTCATTTTTCTTTTCGATATCTGCATTGCTGGAAAGCAGCTTTTCGGCCATTCTTGTATTTCCTCCGTAGGCCGCATAGTGGAGAGCAGTGTTGCCAATTTCATCCTCAATATTTGGATCAGCCCCATGATCCAATAAGAGTGTAGCACAATTCTCAGCGGGACACTGTACAGCCTGCCAGTAATACACCAATCATAAATTGTAACTTCTAGAAATTCAAAGAAAAACTCCCCATCCCAATGGTTTCACCAGTTAGTCATATATAAATAAGATAAATTCATTTTTATTCTAAGTATGTAAACCAAGCCCTTCCTATACTGGGATGGTTGGGCACTCTATACCTTTATCAGCGGTGTTGCAGCCCTTTTATCTTGCGGATCAAGTAGACATCTTCGGCTTATGAGGAAAGCTACCATGTCTTGGTGGCCTTTTGCACAGGCCCAGTGCAGAGCGGTCCTATAGGAAATTATATTGCACAATCACAAAACAGGCCATTTCTCATGTAATTGTAAGGATAAAATAGCATATTCCCCTGCCCTCAAAACAAATGCTTTTCTTCTGAACAAAGAACTTTATCATCTCTTCTTGTCACTAAACTAATGAAAGAGAAGCCTATTAAAGAAAAATAACATGATCAGTACATTAACCACAGCTTGGTTAAATCCTACTTTAAGTTATGACTAGAACTTTGAGTATCTCAATTTCCTGATTAAAAGAATGGGGAGAAAAAGAGTAGTTGTCTCAGTTTACCATTGTGATGCTTAAATGAAAATCTATGTAAAATATTTAGAACAGTTGCTGACACAACTAACAGCTCAGTAATTGTCAGACATAGTCATTACTAATACCATGACTTAAAAACAGCATTTTATTGAGTAATATAATTATCCTGACTTTCCATATATTCTTGAAGCATTAGAGAAAATATTGTATTTCACTGACTCTTTATATGCTCAATGCCTCTCACTTTATCATTTCTCACATTGAAGTGCTGCTTATAATTCATTACTTTTCCCACTGTAATTGGCAGCATTTAAAAATTTAGCATCTATTGAGATAATTCAACGGTTCTATGGTTTTCTTCTTTGATTTCTTAAGGTGATGTATCAGATTTATTAATCTGTATATGTCAAAATGTCTATGTACATCAGGGATAAATCCCATTTCATCTGGGTGAAGGATTTTATTAGATGTGTTGTTGGATTCCATTAGCTAGAATTTGTTAAGGATTTTTATCTGTGTTAATCAGTGACACTGGTCTATAGTTGTCTTTCTTGGTTGTTAACTTTTTTTCCTGGTTTTGGAATAAAGTGATATAAACATTTGAACCAATGGAAGAGATTACAGAGCTTAGAAATTCATCTATGCATCTACCATCAACTGATCTTTGTCAAATGTGCTACAATCACTCCCTGGGGAAAGGACAGTCTCTTAATCAACTGGTGCTGTGGAAATTCGATTTCTGCATGCGGAAGTAGGAAACAAGATCCATACTTTATAGCTTTCACAAAAAACAACACACAATGGTTCTGGGATCTAAACCTAGGACTCAGAACCATACAATGACTAGAAAAAAACATAGGGGAGACACCATAATTCATTGGCATAGTCAGGGACTTCTTGGATTAGACATCAAAAGCACAGGGAATAAAGGCAAAAATAGACAAATGGAGTTAAATCAAGATAAGAAGCTTCTCCACAGTAAAGAAAACACTCAACAAAGTAAAGAGGCAATCAACAGAATGGGAGAAAACACTGCAAGCTATACACTGGATAAAGGAATAACATCCAAAATACATACGTTCAAGAAACTCAACAACAACAAAACAGAAAATACAGTTAAGAAGTGGGCAGGAGGTTTAACAGACATTTTTCAAAGCATGAAATACAAATGGACAACAAACACATGAAAAAATGCTCAGGATCGCTAAGCATCAGGGGAATGCCAATGAATTCCACATTCACCCTAGTTAGAATTGTGTTCATCCAAAAATCAAAAAATACAAAAAATGCTTGTGAGAGTGTGGGGAAAAGGTACCCGAATACACTATTGATGGGAACATAAATTAGCACAACTATTAAGGAAGACAGTCAGAATATTTCTCAAAAATATAAAAATAGATCTGCAATATGACCCAGCTATTCCACTCCAGAGAATTTACCCAAAGGAAGTAAAATCAGCATATGAAAGAGTTATCTGTAACCCAATGTTTATAGTAGCTCAACTCACAACAGCTAAGATATGGAATCAACCCAGATGTACATAAACTGATGACCACATAATGTGTGCTATGTAACCATGATGGAATACTATTTAACCATAAAAATGAAATCCTGTCTTTCACAACAATATGCAATTGGAGATCATTAAGCTTAGGGAAATACACCAGTCCCAACAAGCAACTAAAACATTTTCCTGGATTTGTGGTAACTGACATACAGAGTACAAAATAGGCATATGAGTGAAATCGACATTTTTAGATTTGATTGCATATAGCCCTTATCTATATTCCTGAGAAAACATTGTTTTTCCACTTACTACTTATTGAATTCTTTATTTAGTGGAAGGTTAAGCTTGTGATTACAAAGTAAAGTGAAACTTGGTCATTGTAAAAATTAAAAGAAAAATAAGAAAGTAGGAGAGAGGGTAGGAGTCAGGCAAGGAGGGAGGGTAGGGTGGGAAGTAGCATTATGTTCTTAACATTGTATATATGAAATACATGAAGTGTGTTATCTTTATATAAAGTGTTTTTATAAAACAGAAAAAATGGCTCATTGATACCTACTGATCACACAATCCATGGTGCCTAACAATAAGCGCAAAATAGCATATAAAAACACATTTATGGCAACTCTAGCCATATGATTGGCATTAAATTTTAGTTTCTAAAAGTTCTATAGTTTGGAAGAGACAGCTAACATTACAAACATGTTTAAAAACAAAGTAATTCTTTAATCTCAATAATATTAAAAATTTAACTAGTGTCTACATCATTCTGGAAATGACAAGATAAAGAAAATTTCACAAGAATTCAAATACCTATAAGTGACAATTTTAATCACATTTTGTTGGCTAACACAGTCCACAATTTGTGTGTATGTATAAACACTTTTCTCACTTGTTATACAGATTGCCTACATATTTGTATTTCCACATGCATCTGTGGGACTCCCCACCTTTAATGGTCACCTATCAATGCAATCTATGAATGTGCCATAATTTATAGGTCCATTATGTAGGTTCTTCTTAACATATGGCCATTTTAAGCAGTTATAAGAGAAACAAATGGCATGCCTACCTCTAAAAGTTATTTTAAAAGAATGAAATTGAAGGGTGGTGGGCATATGCATTTTTCAAATGTGACACAGGGGGCTGGCACTGTGGTGTAGCAGGTAAAGCCACCACGTGCAGTTCCAGCATCCCATATGGGTGCCAGTTTGAGTCCCAGCTGTTCCACTTCTGATCCAGCTCTCTGCTATGGCCTGGGAAAGCAGCAGAAGATGGTTTGGGTCCTTGGGTCCCTGCTTCCACGTGGGAGACCCAGAGAAAGCTCCTGGCTCCTGCCTTAGGACTGGCACAGCTCTAGCCATTGTGGCCAATTGTGAAGTGAACCAGCAGATGGAAGACCCCCCCGCCTCTCTCTCTCTCCCCCACCATAACTCTTTCAAGTAAATAAATAAATCTTGAAAAAAAGTGACATAGTACTTAGAACCAAATTCTCAATATAAAAAGTCACAAGCAATTTGACCTTTACCCCTAATATTGATATTCATTATCATAAACTATGTGGATGGAATGTAGCATTTCATTCATCTTTCAAATTAAATTCTTTTTCTCACCAGAGACACTGAATACTGTTTTCTATGTCCACGGATCACTTGTATACCTACAACACATACATATCCCAATTTAAAATTAAGTTCAGCGTTGTTTTCCGGCTTTGCACAGATTTCTGTAAAATGAAGATCCATTTTTTTTTCACCTGAAATATACTTGTTGTAAAAATGTTTTGAAGATATATTGTTTTGTTATTTTCATCCAGATACACAGGAAGTTTTATTTTTATTTTCCTAAGCAAATATTCAGAGTAATTCCTTAAAAACTGCTTATTTAAAAGGCAGAGTGAAAGGGAGAGGAGGAAAGGTACAAAGAGCTGCCGTTAACTGATTCATTCCCCAAATGCCCACAACAGCCAACAACGGGCCTGGCCAAAGCTCAGGGGGTCAGATCAGAAGCAAAGTAGGGAGGACTCCAACCTGTACTCAGCTATGAGACACCAGCATCCAAAAGCAGTGACTTCACCCACTGTGCTGAACTGTTCACCCCAGAATGTTTGCTTTTGACTTCAGTCTTAAGTCTTTGGCCACTAAAAAATTTATTGCTCCACATTTGTGTTTTGTTCTGAAATTTTTCTCACATTGTTTATTTACAACTTTTAATTCTACCAGAAATTTAGCTTTGTGTTATAAAAATCTAGTTTTCCTCCGTTAAGAAGTATTTCATGTGTAAGTAATCTTTGTTTTCTTATGAATATTAAAGGTAACCAGTATCAAGTTCTAAATTTTTTTCATGTTTTTGGATTTCCAATTCATTTGCCCTTTCAACTGTCAGAAACCTGATTAATTTCTAAAAACAGCACATGTTTACATTTAAAGCAGCACCTCATTACTTGCTACATTACAAATGAGTGTTAGCAGAGCAGTAAATGACAAGTAGAATGTGTAACTCAAAATTTTTAAACTTTGATATTTTTGTTTGGCACATTAAGACTGATAAAATTAAAGCTCACTTTTTGGTAAAAATGAGTTCTCTCATGCCAAGGTTTCCTTCTACAATCCCACGTACACGCAGGTGTGAACTGACATCAAACGGGTATTGGGTTTACTCAGACTTTAACCCAGGGGTTGAGAGATTATGGAAATTTTCTTGTTATCTTTTTGATCATGTGTATCACAACGTGGATCTGGACTTGTGTACATAAACATGGACTGGTGTCCAGGGAAGCCAGCAGGGGAGCCTGGCGAGGGCTTCCTGCACTGGGCCCTGCTGCCCACCCTCCAGTACCTGCTCTTGTGATCCACGTCATCCACACCGCTTCTTCTACAACCCAGGATTTTCTCCACTGCGGCCACATTGCCCGTGCTGGCAGCTCTGTGAATGGCACCAAGCTCCCAGTAAAGCAGGCGGTATCCAAAGTGCGGCCGCCTCTTCAAGTGTTTTTTCTCGAACTCAGTAACAGTCCAAGCAGGCTTTCTCTCAAACTTCCTAACAGACCAGGAGAAAAATTTCTCCATAAGGAAGGCTGTCAGGGGCTTTCAGCCACCTCTGCAGCAAAATATGCAGAAATGCGGCAGTCTGGCCACCATGTAACACAAGAGCTTCGCGGTTTCTAACCTCTCTGCTCACAATAACTCTCCAACAACAACTGCCGTGCATGCGCACCAGGCTAAGCCCC